ATTGGAAAAGGGACCACATTAGTAGAAAGTAATTTTGTAGAGCGTGCTGGTAGTTAATTAAAATTATTCTGAACATCAATGGTAATCGAATTAAAGTTCCGCTAGCAACCTATGTGAAATCAAGTTATAATTTCTTGAAAATGAATTGAAATCAAATTGAATTCCATTTGAATTCAATTGAAATATGATCAGAATTCCTTTCAAAATCAATTTAAATCAAATTCCATTAAAAATCAATTGAAATCGAATTAAATTCCATTTGAGATCAATTGAAATCGAATTAAATTCCATTTAGAATCAACTGAAATCGAATTAAATTCAAGTTGAAATTAATAGAAAACGAATTAAATTCCATTTGACCTCTATTGAAGTCGAATTAAATTCCATTTGAAATCAATTCCTATCCTTTCTTAATAGAGTTCCAAGAGCCCCAATGACCGAAGAATGCTTTTATTCTGGATTTTTGATAGAGATTCAATTCATTCCTATTCAGTTTTTACTATAGCTCCAAGAGCCCCAAGGATGTTAAATAGAGATGAAGTTCATTCCTATTCACTTTGTACTAGAGCTCCAAGAGCCCCAAGGATGTTAAATAGAGATTCAATACGTTCCTATTTAATAATTCAGTTTGTACTAGAGCTCCAAGAGTCCCAAAGATGTTTAATAGAGATTCAGTACATTCCAATTCTGTTTGTACTAGAGCTCCAAGAGTCCCAAAGATGTTTAATAGAGATTCAGTACATTCCAATTCAGTTTGTACTAGAGCTCCAAGAGCCCCAAGGATTTTTCATAGAGATTCAACACATTCCAATTCACTTTGTACTATAGCTCGAAGAGCCCCAATCATTCTTTTAATCTGGCGCCCTTAATTTCTTGTTCTGGCGGGGTGGGGGGGCGGGGGGGCGGCCCCCCCAAAATTAATCAAGTGCTAGGATTACTGGAAAACTCACTCACTCGTCACAACCTGGGAACTACTTGCATGTTTTGATAAACGGGTGTAAGGTGGTGCAAGCCAAGTTCGCTGTTCTGCGCGGCCACCCCCGGAAAAGGCAATAGGCTCCAAGTTCTGGCGGAAGCGAGAGTGAACAGTCTTGAACTTGGCCTCCTGCCAGAGTTAGTCATAAGAGGCGATGCCATGGCAAACGCTCGGCAATGACTGAGCATGCGCAAATGATTCAAATCCACACTTGCTTGGGCTTGGCTTGGCTGAGGGAAGCCACGCTAGCGGGTCCTTGTCAGCCAATCCGCCCAAATGGATGGCATAGTTGGGCATTACGTATTTAGAGACGAGGCCGTGAAGTGGCATGTTCAGCAGGTAGAGGGCCAGAACTCTCCAACCTGGCCGTGGCGTCAAGTCCGCATGCTTAACATGCCGCTCGGCCTTGGTCCTGAACAGACTGACGCCCTTGCCTCCAGTGGACAACGACAGAGCCGCACCATAGAATGCCAGCACACAAGGTTTCAAAGACTGCCTGATGTTCAGTGACTATCAGATGATGCTGGTCTGCCTTTTAATCCTGGCACTGGATTGAATGGTGTGCTAACATCAGGAAACATAATCTTACAAGTCTGCAGGGTGCTCCACGAAGAGCAGCAACGTATCTCCAAAGCCAGACACCTACCAGCCAAAGGGCAAAGGGTATACTTTAGCATCAAAGCTTTGCAATTTTGCGGACATTCAGCATATTATGGGCTCTGTTGCCTCAGCCGCCCGTACTCCAGGAGGCCAAACGGATGGAAGCTGCCAGGCCATGCCTTAGAAGCTGCAAGGATGCATCCTTGATGAGACAGACAATAAACCCGAACCCCGCCCAAGCGGCTTTAACTTCTTTGGTTCGCACTTGCTGTCTTTCATTCCCCGTTCACATGTTCGCATGTGTTCGGTTTCTGCTACTTTGTCTCTGTTTCTCTCTTTGGTACCTCTTCTCTTGCCGCCCTGCAGACATTGCGTCGTATCTGTCTGCTTTGTTGTTTGACTGCTCTTGCAGTTGACAGTGCTTTCTCACCAGCCGCCCTAATCCTGAAACATTTAAACTTAAGCAGCACAACCAAAGACTAAGATGCCTACAGTAGCGGTTTGTGGGCAGGCGGAAGCTTGGCAGCTTCTTAGCTGCTATGCTGGCGCATCCTTTGTTTTGGGCATCCAGCGATACATCGCAGAAAAGGCAAGCAATTGCATGCCATCTTTTCTTTTACTGTGCGCTTGTACACTCGTCTCCATGCCTTGCAAGCTCCATTTTGAGCATGGAAGATGAGATGGTTTCCAGTTTGTCTGCCAGAGTCTTCCATGCATATTGTTGTGCTGATTCATGAGGAACGAAGTTCAAACCAGAACGAAACTGTGCTCTTTTGGTTGTGAGAACTTTCCCGCATCGAAAGCTGTCTAACAATCTCTTTGCATTACAGCAGGCAGGACCTGACCAGTTTCACGAAAATTGTGGATGTACGCGCTGATGCTATCAAAAAGTGACTTATCATTGGTTATCAGCTGTTTCGGCATGCCCACTTTTTACGAGGGTCGATTCTGCGTCCTCATGTATCACAACCAACTCATCACCAGGGTTACTGACTAGGCAATTCAACTACTGCCTATTTCAAACACAAAGGGCATAGCAAATCTTGGAATATACCTGAATGAGCTCTCAAATGCTACCCTGACAAGGAAAGAAGTCTGTTGTGAGGCCTGCTGATGGACCTTCAGAGTCTTTTGAAGGAATGCATTTTCTGTGGTGCTAAAGCGTAGCAGTGCAGCCTGGGGGCCATGGTGGATGGCATGCTTCTTCAGCAGGAGCTCATGGACTTTCAAAGACAGTCCTGGGCTTGCTGCGAATTCTCCAATGCAAGGGTAGTAAGGGGGGTGGGCTGCTTCAACATTTTTGGGTGATGATGACTAATGAAAGCATTTTGGGTGTCGATCTAGGACAACTATTTGCAGTGGCAGCATGCACTGAGATTCGGCAAACCGGGTGCAAGGAATGATACGAAAGTGCACGCTAGAACCAACAGAACATGGTCAATTAGCAGTTATAGCTGATGTATGCGGAAGCCCAAGCACCAAGTAGGTCTAGCCAAGTTCGTGGCATGTGAGTGCTTCATAAGTACTGCACTCGAAGGACCGCGCAAACCAAGCTGTCCGGGCTTCCTTCCTGCAGCAGCATGGCCAAACTGTTTGAGAGACGCTTGATGACTCGATCCAGAATCAGCGTCAAAAGGGACAGCAGCCTCAGCAGGCTTCGAGGCTCAACTGTGGTCGTCTGGCATGTGCTGTGATCTCACGAAGTCGTGTGAAACGTGACGCCAACACGATGGTCTTGCTGCATTAGAGGGTCAAATTCTTCCTGAACGCACGGCGGATGAATCCCACATCCTTGGCAGTCAAGCCGGATGGCTGCACGCCGCAGGCAGTTGCAAGATTCAGTGCTTGGAGGTTCATGGATGCGTTTAAATAATGCGTGCGGTCACATGTCAGCCTCTGCACTTCACTGACCAGCCCAAGAAACGCCTGACAATGCGCTCACGATGATGTCCCCCACCGACCTGGGCTGCGGATTACTTTGCAAGTTTTTGAGAGGTGGAGCCAGTTTGGGGCAGGACACCTCCAAGCAGCTATCAGGAGGGGGCAGCGCACAACCAGGCAGAGCGCGAACGCGACCAGACGCCAAACCTTGCGTTGCAGCCGTATTGACTTCTGCAGTAGCAGTGTAATGTTGCACTGGCTTTAGTGAAGAGACCTTGAGTAATGTGCTTTGGCCGCCGCTTATTCAATTTCAGGCCATTGTTGAGAAGACCTTGAATCATGTGTTTTGGCTGGAGTACGTAATCCCCAAGGCCTCCCGGGGCCATCAGTACCGTGGCAGCGTTATTATTGAGGACGCTTAATTCAGTTTTTTTCGGACCCCCTATTGTTAGAGGCAGGCAGGGGGGGGCCTGGAGCTGAAACCTAGTGCAACATTCGCTTCTTCATGGCGCCGCAAAGATCTTCTGGCATCACGCGGCTTGACATACGTCCAATATAATATCAAAGCCAGGCAGCAGCCGGGCGCTGCCAGAGGCCGGTCAAGAGGGCAGGATGAAAGACCCTTGTCAGGGAGCTACTTGCAAACCCTGTGTGCCGCCTGGAATCTGGAGCCTGAGGCTCTGCAGGGAAACAGCTGACGGCTTGACGGCTTTTGAGGCTAGCTGTGGGGTCTTAGAAGCTCAAGAGTGTGGATTCCAGTTGTTTCGCTCCTCGTAGCTGGGAGCTCATTGCCATCTCAGAAAGCTGTGGCTTCCTGTCTCACTTTTCTTATGCCACTACCTAGCAGCAGTTTGTCGGATTTCTACCAAGGCTATCGAATGGATTCTCATAGGATCCTTGCAGTCCTGCCGCTTGCGAGATAGGTGACAAGGAATGTGCACTAGCTGTGAGCATCGCAAGCTCACTCCCTGGCCTGGTCTCCATGTCCCGAGGCAGCAGTGAACGTGTGCTAGACCTAAGGAATGTGTTCGGATGCCACGGGAGCATGAAATTAAACTGAAGTCATGAATGGTTGTCCGGCCACGATCAATCAGCTTTTTGGTTATGGTCAGCCAGAATGAAAAGATACACTTACATCAGCACGGGCGCTCCTCGAACTTGCGCGAGCGCTCCTGGGTAATCTCAGCGCATTCGCTCTTGCGAGCTTCGGAGAGCTTAATCGCCTCATTTGAGAATGGGGCTGTCATTCCAAAAAGAAGATCTTGCAAGGGCAGCTCATGCAGGATGAAATGTCAGCAGGTAGTAGTTGCGGCTTCAATTCGTGCTGGAAGCTGGAGGTGCAGACCTGAAGCAGGTCCAAACCTAAACGGCGAACTGGCCACGGCCATGGTCGGTCCCCCGTGGGTCCGTGATTGGGATGATGACATCCGACTGCGTGAGCACATGCTGAAACTGAAGCATCCCTGACCTTGCCCATGTCTTAACTGCACGCGGGCTCGCCAGGAGCAAAGCAAAGCATGGCAAAAAACACCAACTGATACGGAAATGTCCCCAGGCCATTGCAAGCTAGTGCCAACACCTGACTTCACATCCAAAGCATCAAGAAGAGAAACCAGGTAATTACAACGACGACAGCGCAGCCCATGTGGTCTACACCCCAAACAGACCTCCCGGACTTGTCTGATGCTTTCACCAAGTGGCACGACCGGCCATATACTTCTCAATAAGGGCAGGGGCATCGATGTCACTGCAGGCTTCTGGATTGAAAGTTGCAGAGCCACCATCAATCTTGGTGAGTTTCCAACCTGGAACGCGGAGTTGGACAGGCACTGGCTTGCGGTATCTTCCAGCACTTCGGCATATGCAATGTTTGCTCACTGATCATGCAAAACACGCTGGCAGCCAGATGGTTCGGGCCTCCATTTTCGGTAGGCTTGCCGGTCAGCGATAGCTGCTGCTGATGATACTGCAACAGCGCCGGGCGGTGGGCTATGGTGATGCAGGAAATGCCAAGCTTTGGGCACAATTCGAAAAGGCGCCGTTCCATTTCACCGCTCACTGCTGATGTGCACCTTGGTCGCCGCGACGTGCAACCATCATGCAAATCCAGCTAAGCTGATCCTTCCTAGGTCTGGGTTGAAAAAGCAGTTCCCATACCAATAATTTCAGCATGCCAGATCTTTGGCCGGTCTGCTTGAACCATGGAATGGTGTATGTTACATGGGTGCTCGTGCATTGTTGGCAAACAAATCAATCAAGGCGCTCGTCAAGCACCGCAAACTTGGGTCGCCTGGAAGTGTTAGCACAGAGCCACAAGCACTTTGTTTAGCGTGCAGAGTGCTGCAGCCAAGAACACAGCAAATACAACATGGCCTCCAGAACAGGCGAAGGATGGCAAGACGCTGCTGCTCGCCCCGCGACAGAACCTTTTTGGCAGCAAGCAGTTTGGATTTGGCGTCACACATGTTGTCTGAAGCACTGACTGTAGTCATTGTAGTCTGCAAGCGCGGCTTTAGCTGGCCTGCTCCCAGTCAATCTGCCGTGTGAAGGCGCCTCTCATCAAAACATATCAAAACAGTGCGGCCAAAAACGGTATGACGTTACGATGCATAGCATGCTTACTAGCCGGCACACTGCCTCGGCGACGGTAAGACGACAGGCTGACAAGATACTCCAAACAGCTGCATGGATCCCTACAACCTCACCAGCATGCGTCTGTGTTACTATGCGCGCCTGGATAGTCGGCGAGGTGACCCAAATCGACAAAATCCAGCCATCTGCGCAACTCCTTCTGCGTCAAGGTCTCTGGCACTGGGTCCGGATAGCAGAACTCGTCCTGGCTTCATGTTGATGCGAGGCAGCTCCCATAAACTTACCATTCCTTTCGCCCTGACGCCGCACTGCTGGCCCCGGTGACCCGGCACAGAACACTCGCTTCTTTCCAGAAGCGGCTTCAGCTTGCCAGCACAGTTTGAATTTTCCTACTGTCCCAAGCAGCGACAACAAGCAACCTCAGAAAAAATGAATTTCGACGAGGCGCCATCAGCGTGCCCAGGGCATTGTATGGTCTTTGCGGAAGGTAGTACACTACGCCCGTCAGGCCAATTCCGTCATCTTGGCACAGTGGAAATATACGCTTGCTGTAAGCACTTGCTTGCAACCGTCAGATCTGACTGAATCCTTGCAGCCAAGCTAACAGCTAAAGCTTTGAGTCCCTGGCTCTCAACTGTGTTCCGTGGCCGCACAATGTTTCCATTCCTGATCTAGTTCGCAACCACGCAAACTGTAGGCTTTGAATGCTCTGCGAATTTCAAGCTTGCCATGTGCTGTCACCTGCTGTATCTTGTGCTAGTTGTGCTCATAGGTACGGCTCGGAAGCTTGGACTTAATCATTCCTCGTACGGACAAGGTCGCAATTGGGCCTTAGCCTTAGCCGTAGGAATCCACCTAAGATTAAGATTCAAGGTTACTGATCGTAGCCGGACAGCTTGATCTGCCACAGCCCGCCGAGGCAGCGGAAGATGGAGCTTTTGCCGGCCCCATTGTGGCCAGTGAGGAGCAAAGCCTCCCACATGCTTGAATAAGACTATGCGCAGAGTTGTTGGAGTTGTTGCATAGGGCCACCCAGGCAAGCCTCGCCCCAGCGCACAGAGAACGAAAGCTGGTCGACCAAGAGTGCATTGCTCGGAGTGTGGATAGAAACATCCTTGAACCTTGCAGGGCTTCTCTCATGGTCTGGCAAAAGCTTCGGTTTGGAGGGACCAACCCGATGCTTCTTTTACAGTTTCTGTTTGTGAAGGGCTCAATGTCAGGCTTTCACCTGCGGATATCACCGGTCGCACCGCCTACCAGCCTAGCGAACAGCTCTGACTCAGCTGTTTCATGAGGAGATGAGCGTGCGTTGCCTTATATTACAAACACAAGTACGAGCTTTGTAGTCCAATCCGTTGTCGTTGGAGCCTTCCCTTCACGTCCCTGCTTTGGTAGAGAAGCACTAGAAGCTTTCACAAGTCTGCCCTCAAACGCCATGTTGAGTTGCCTCTCCCTTGGCAGTTCTGTAAGTACAGGCGATGTTCCTTCTTCCAATTCGTTCGCTTCATTGCAGAGGCTGGTTGTTCAACGTCCTCTAGCTGCTCTTCTGTCTCTGCCTCTTTGTTCAACAAAGTCCGTTCGTGGTATCCAAGAGCTGGCCACATATGGTGGGCACGAGTGCCTCCTCTTGTCCCTAAAAATCTTAGATCTCTGCCCCTCGCGAGACGTTCTGAGCTCAGTTCTGCGACTCCATGCTCGTGCCCCACACCCCTGAACGAGCTTGTGAATCAACTTCGGCTCTCTGCCACTGCTTGATCCGAGAGGCTCAATGCAGTCTTCAGTTGAGACGTGTACGCGAGTCTGCGGCTGTGCCGTGGCCACCAACTTCTTCTCCAAATGCTGGATTCGCATGATAGCTGCGTAATTCTGCAGCACCTGTTGGGTTTGTGAGCCAGTTGCAGAGGCTTGCGCTCGAACACATGGGCTCACTCAGCGCCGCGAGGGGGGCGGAGCTAAGATCTAGCCTGGTTGCGGCGGTTGTGATGCTACATGTCACTGTCGGCAATTATAGGCTTGAAGGATCTGCGTAACAGTTCTTTCCACCACCTCGTCCGTGAAGAGATGTCATGCCAGGAAGCAACCAGTGCCCGCCTGATGCAGAGCGAAAACAATCCGAAAGGTAGCCCAGAGCAGGAAGTTGCCACCCCAAAACAATTGGATGCCACGACCTAGGCAGGAAAAGACTCCGGGTCAGGCACACGAACTGCTATGACGCAGGCTCCAACAGAGGATGTTTGCCGAGGACATGGCTGTAGCCTTCAGCCACCATATGGCTGCGCTCGGTGTAGCCAAGAACATGGCCGGCTTCCTGGTTTCATCTCGTTCAGACTCAACTTTGGGGACAAAGGAGATATGACAAACATGCTTTCTGCAAATAGAGCAGCACCACCAGCCCGAACAGAGCGGCCAGCCATCAAGCTGGAAACTGCGCGGCGCTTGGGGGGTTGCGGAGAACTGGCACAAAGGAATGTAGCAAAACAGGGGACTCAAAATATGCCGAGAACATGTCAGCCTCTGGCTTTGCTTCTACTGACAGGCGCTGCCAAAATGCCCTAGTGCGTCGGACGCGCCACTTCCAAATTTGAAGCTGGACTGGTAGACAGATCCCCCAGCCTCCCCAAAGGTAGGTCAGCCAGCCCAGCGGAGATTGCTCCAGACAAGAGAAGATGAAGTAGTACAGCACTGTGTCCAGCCTGTCTTGACCTGGACCAGGTCGCAGCGAAGGCTTCAGCTCAAGACTAGCTCAAGGTCAAGCCTCATCATCATCATCATCATCATCATCATCATCATCATCTTGATCCCTCGTGGGATACTTGTTATGCCGTCTGCAAGCCTACAAAGGCTCGCCATTTCGCCGCCAGCGCTGCACGAAGCTTGCCATTGAAATCGCGTAGTTCTGGAGCACCTCCTGAAACAGTGGTATTGTATGCTACAGCTTTTGATTACCTACGTTGTGTGAGCTGAGACCTGATGCTCTTCACACGTTGAAAGAACTTTACGTCCTTGAGAACCTCAAAAAAACCATGCCCTGGGGGATTTTTTCCTAAGAGAGATTCTTTTGATCATCTCAATCCTCACTGCGGCGGCCATCCTTTACAAAAATGTTCTCGCACATACCGGCACTGCGTGCAAGACCTGCCCAGGCTGCTTTGACAGGGACGTGTAACCCCCAACAGCCCAAACAGAAAAATCCCTGCACTGTTGTGGGGGAAGCGGGTTGCGGAGGAAGTGTGAGCGGTGGAACTCTCGGTTTGCTTGCGCTGGATATAGAGTGACTAGCAAACAGCCTCTCGGGTCCTTGCAGGGCACAGATGGCCTGGGCATGTGTCTCTGCGCGGCTGAGGCTTTGCTTTAGTGCGGAATCTGTCGCCTCAGCATTCGTGACAAGGCCAAATGCCAAAGCAACAGCTTGTGCTGGCTACAGCACTGCAAAGCTCTGTATTTGCCGTGTCGCAGCAGCGCCACCCAGCAACCCCGCCCAATCCACCGGCATGATGTAGTTGGACTCAGCATGAGTGCGCCCTCTTTAAATACAGTAAATACAGGTGGACCAAAGCCCGGCCTGGCAAGGCCTTTGATTCAGATTATCTGGAAGGGGGACCCCAAGCCCTTTCAGTAAAAGCTGTGCAGGCTGATAGTTCTCGTTGCCAAGGGCATTCTCAGTTGTCCTCCTGTGAGCTGGCGAGAAAAGATAGTTAACAGTTAAGAGAGACTTGGAAAGGATCCTGTTTCCAGCCACATGCAGCAAATACGAAGGAACCCATGCATAAGTACGGTGACATCCACAGCACGCTTTTGGGCTCTCTGCATCCTAGGCAGCTATGGTTTGAATCTTTAGCGATGCTGACATTGGTGCCGCCGTTCTTTCCAAAAGCTTGAGGCCCTCCAGCCCAAACACGCCGCAGATCATTGAAGAAATTGGGGGGAAACATCAAAACTGACAAGCATCAACAACAAATTTGACCTCACGATATCCTGGCATTAAAAAAAACAAGCGGAAATCGGTGGCTGCATGTGGCTGCGAATTGCAGACCTGTCGTAGCTTTTGGAGCCTCGCCTCGTGGCGGCCAAGAGCAGAACCCTCATTGCTTTTGGAGCATATTTGGAAAAAAACGCCTGGGATCACCTGGGGGTGGGGGGGGGGGGCACGAAACGCTCCATCTCCAAACAGAATGATCAGATGACATGCTGGCCAGACGAACGTTTTTGCGATATACACTTGCAGCTTTCTTGCGTGGCTTTACAAACAAAGCAGGGGGGTTGGGGGGCAGCCCCCCATTCTGCAAACATAATTTTCAAATGTCTCACTGATCGTCCCAGAGTTTTGAACAAAAAAACGTGTGCCGGTGGGGATGCGCAGCGCCCCATCTTCGAACAGAAGGATCAGCTGATGGCATGCTACACACTGGCAGCCAGCTTTTTGCACAATTAAATAAAGAAAAGGATAGAAAAGGTGTGTATGGCAACCCTCCTGGTTTGCAAACATGATGATAAAATTTCAGGAACGAGCCAACCTTTTGAAGAAAACAGGGTTGGGGGCGCGGCAGCCAATTTCAAACCAACATGATTAGATGACATCCGTTTCAAACGAAATGTTTAAACACACACACACACACACTTGCAGCCAGCATTTGGCAAAATGATGATGGGACGCTGCGCTTTGTTAGGTAAGACGCGCATAGTTGCAGGAAACCTTTCTGAATGTGGTGATGGGACGATAACCTGCACGAGGTAGCTTGCAGTGCGGCGGAGGCTTTGGGCGGGCAGAACCCCCATTTGCAAGCAGAATGATCAATGCCAGAACCAGGGGACTAGAGGGCCAGGGAATTCACGGTTCTCAGCTAATTTCGCCAACAAAAATACCCAGGCCATCGCAGACCACCCCCACTACGCAAAGCAATCCTGCAATGATTGGTGTTAAGTCCGGGTTTCTATTTTGCAGGCACGCCAGCTTTGCAGCCAAAGGCGCCAATATGTAGAGGGAAATGCCATAGAACTGAGTGGTAGCTGCAAAGAGGATGCCTCTCCGTCCCTGCCTGGCCAATATCGCGGAAAACGCGATCCTTAGGTCACGTGGCCTTACGATGGATGAGGAATGCGCCACATGCCACTTGAACTGAGGCTCACATCGACAACTCCTCCGAGCATCTGGGAAAGCAAGCCTGACAAGCAAGGCGAGACCCCAGATTTGAGCTTGCATGAGCTTGCCCATGCTCAGCCAAGGGGCTTGACACACTCGTGGCCAAAGCTGGGACGTCAGTTGTGAGCCGTACCTGGAGCATAGACGAGCCGACCAGTCTTTGCCCGTTGGCTTTCTTAACTTGCACAGTCCATGGCAAGTCCGGATGGGCACGTCTGCGTCGACGACCGCACCCTCTGCCTCGCCGCCTTGAACAATCCTCAGTTGCGCATCAACTTTGAGATTCGGCAGTTGCTCTTCAAACTGAAAGTGCCAATGCAGTCCGCACTCTGATAGAAGTGGGAGCTGGCGAAGTACAATTGATGTAGTCGCGTCGTCAGTGCTTGCCTCCACATCCGAGCCAGGGCCTCTCGAGTCTGCACTTGGGTGCTGTAGCATTCTGGACTCCGCACTTTGTGAATGTACCCTCAAATACACTTGCCCAGCAGCCTTTAGTGGCTGGCGGAGACCACGGGACAATGCAACCGCTCCCTGAAAACTCACTTTTTCCATGAGGCCTTCTCAGCATACTGATGCCAGCTGGTGAGCCCAGCAATAACACCACATGCCAGGACACCCTCAATCATGGACCGCACCCACTTGCCAAGCTGGCCTGAGTAGCAGCAAACTGCAAGCTATTCGCACCTGTGATGGGTTTGCGCTTTACTCCTGAGCTGCATGGCTTCTCTTGCCGGCTTGCCTAGGATCCTCCCCTGCTACAGCTTGAAGCCGAGAGTCCAGAGTTTTGATAATAAACCTGGCGGGGAGTCTACTCTACACAGCAGGCAGCAGGCGGGTAGTCAGGTATTCGATGGCAACAAGTTATACAGGCCATGCGGACTAAAATCGGAGATCCCGTACGGAAGCAATCCTTGAATGAGCGCTCCCACTAAGACATTTCATGCACTAGCGACCCAGGGCATGTGCAGCATGCTAGGCATCTTTTTTACTAACACAAAATTCTTGTGTGTCGCATGAACCATGGGACAGCTGAAGGATTGAACGGCCTTTCGAAACCACAAAGTGGAGCACGTGGCCTGCATCTCGTTCATTCGCATCTTGGCCACGAGCGTGCCAGTCCGCACCACTGATGCAAGCGCGAGAACCAAGAATTGCCGCCGCAGCTGGCGATTGTCCGTAGTATATCCTCAGGCACATCCCTTGTACAGGAATCCATCGCATAGGCACATGACTCACGACGGCAACATTCACAGGCAGAACCGAATGCTGAGCAAAAGGCGCATAACCAACTTGAGGGCTTCATACCTCGCCAGGCTTTCCTTCTGATGGCTTTAGCTTGGTAACTGTCCACTCTCAGAACCCTAGATTCTGCATACACGCCGTTTCAATGTCCCCCAAGCAAGTCAGCGGCAACTACCAACAGAAGCTGCAAGCAAGCTTGAGACATGAACACCTTGCGGCTTAGAAGCCAAACATAGAGCTGTGATACCAAAGGCGCTGGCATGGCGACCAGTTTGTAAGTGATCCGCTGCCTGATACTTGAAGATGCCTGACCTGAAAAGCTCATTTCACCTTGAGCTGTGCCTCATCATACATCATTGCAATCCATATAACCCATCACCTCTAAAAAACAACTTGAGCCTCACGCAACTGTCAGTGCTTGCCTGGCACAAGCTCCCCAAGGAAGCCTCACACAACTTCTATGCAGCTTAGCTCCTTCAGTATAAGATGGCGGACCCGCTGTAACTATATCTCGAAGACCCTTGTAACTACCGATTACAGAGTATGCGCTGTACTGAACCAAAGCATGGCTGCAACCTTTCAGCTTGGCGCATCTGGGGCCAACCGGATCTAGCTTCGAGCTCCGAAGCGACCCTTGCTGAACTGGCTGCCCGCAAAGGGCAGCATGCAAGCGAAAGATGGGTCGGTAAGGATAATCTCCTTGAGAGCATTCTGACAAACAATTGCCAGTTGATCCATTTGCTCTTGTCGTAAATCCCGAGCTCCCAGACAAGGCTGCAAATTCTGAATGCGTGCTCTCGTCTGGAGATTGCAGCAAATGCAGGCAACAGCTGTGTGGCAGCTAGCAGCAGGGCAGCCGCAAGCAGGTTGTGCAGCAAAGGCTGGTCGTTTCCGAATTAGGCAACCAGCGGCATGCATGTGACTTTGCAAAGTCTTTGACTAGCACGCCGCCAGGCATCAGAGCCTGTACCGCTGTAATACCCAGAATGTGCAGAACATGGCGGGAAAACTGATCCTACGTCCATTAAACTGCAACAATGATCCGCCGAAGAACTGCCAACCCAAACAGCGAGCTGTGGAAAGATGCTGACAACCACAAATCCAAAAAGTGCTGTGCGCAGGAGGGTTTCTCGGAGTTCAACCATGTAATTAAAACATGGTCTTAAACACAAATGAAGCTTTGTTGGTTGTGCTCTGCATCTCTTCTCCGCAGGGACTGTTGATCATGAACTATGCGCCGCAAGGTGCAAAAGTGGAAAATCCTTTGCATCCAAGCCGTGACTGCAACTGAACGGACACATGGTGTGAAAACATTCACAAATGTTGGTGCATGACCCTATGCTTCAGCACAGCGAAGTTTGCAACAGCTGGTGCTGTCCAGATCTCGGCTTGTGACTCTTTGCTGCACATGACCTTTCCGGCCGCGTAAAAATCTGCACAGGCGGCTTTCACAGTGTGGGCAGACAAGCCCGCAGTGCTGTATGGGTGCAGTTGCAATGCATTCTGTGGCCCGCAGTGCCCCAGGCACGTGATGAAACTTCCTGAGATAGCTTCATCCTGCTCTCATACCCGCACAACACCAGGGCAGCTGAAAGCTGCTGTGACGCAGAAGGTGGTTATCGAATTGAAGCACTGTCGCAGCCCAGAGGCGCCAAGCTTGATGGCACCCCGGCTTCTGATTTGAGAAACCGGTCAGCGTACAACATGAAACAACATGCCACTGAAATAGAAGCAATAACCAAACTCTCGATGACTTTTCAGCACCTACCAGTCAAAGTTGAATTCCTTGCTGCCAGATGGTGCGCTGATGATCTAGCTACACACAGTCTAAGGCTTCACTGGTTGCATACACGCAAATCCTTATGAAGCGAATCTATGGGGCCTTCTGGACTGACCAACGAGCCTGGTATCTCTCTTGCCCCTTGATTACTTTCAATACTGCATGTCTTGGAAGATTCTGCTCTCAACAAGCTGCCATCACCACGTTCAGTTCATAGCGGCTTGATGGCAAGCCTGCCGGGCGCCTCACAAGGTAGGGCAAGAAGACCCCATTGCTTCCCTGGCCCAATCATGGTCACGGATTACCACCACCTCTGAGCAACTTTCCAGATCCATGCTGAGGATGTGGCAGAGCGATGCTTAATTGTCAAAAGACCATGAACAGGAAATGCGTCGGTGACAGACGGCCTCGCCTGCCTCGCCTGCTCCACATGAAAGCTCAGTTTCGGCCAAGCTGCAAGCTATCCTGCATGCCCGATCAGCTCGAGTTCATCAAGAGCGTCGAAATCGAAAAAACCGGAGTCATCCTGCAGAGCTTGAGTGACCAATGTGCAGCGTGGGATTCGGGCAGGATTTGTTCTCGTCTCGAGGAACGTTGCGTCTTCTCGCCTGTTATGATTATAAGAGGTCCAATTCCCCAGTGCGTCCTGTCGCTCTGCAATTGGCGATAGCTCCACTTGTTGGCAACTTGGTGCGCAATAGCCCTGCAGCGGCATGTCATTGCACATGGCATTACTTACTTCCCTAAATAGTAGTTTCCATTTTCTTTTCCATTATCCCAATATAACCCCTATATATACACCCCTATATAATCCCTTGGAGCTGCTGGCCTGGTGCGGCTTTGTCACTTGCTCCGCCTCATCCTGGAACCACACGGAAATGAGCTGCCTCTTGTGGAAGGCGTATTCCTGATTCCACCGTTAAGGACTGTCCAGGCCGTTTGCAGGACATATCAGGGGATAGACTTTATTCCAACAGCAACTGACCTGTAGAAAGCCCGAGCAGCTTTGAGGACCTTGTCGTCCTTCGCCATCTGCATAGGTGCTTTCCTGTTTAGGATCTTGTGTGACCAAAAGCCGGCTAGTGTTAAAAGAAGCTTGCCCCCATCCCACGTCTTTTGGGGATAGGGTGCTCATCTGGAGCATATGCATCTGTGGAGACAACCTTTTCAAATTGCAAGTGGCGACCGAACCGCCCCTGCTTTTGTTGAGGGTCGCTTATGGGTGGTGTCTTCCTGGTTGAACAAGAGCAAATCATATTAGTTCATAATCTGCTTGTAATGAAAAGATTCAATCAAATGGAGAATCTAATCCTCCTGAATCTCACTCAGTAATGGGAGTGCGATAGTGCTCATGAAGAAAGGCTCTAGTGACGTTTGCTTCATGAGAGCCGATGTGGTATCTAAAGGGCTTCTCATCGCCAACGTGCTTCATAGTTTCGTTGGCTTCAAGGGGCAAAGAAATGACACAGCGCAAATGACACATCGCTGGGAACGGGATTCGGCCTTGTCTTAAATAGAAGCGCCGCAACTCCGTGCACAAAGCCCCTTCAAGGCGCTCTCGTTTGCTTCCCTGTCACGGCCCCTAGCCACCCTCTGTGCAGAAAATCCGGCAGTGTTGTTCGTTTGCCGTTTGCTGCGCAACAAATGGCACACGTCCAAAACATGCACAAAGCCAGACGAGCATCTTGTCGAAGTTGAGGCCAAACACATTCTTCCGGAAATGCGGGTCCAGGCACTTTAGGAACAAAGGGCTGGAGATGATGTCAAACCTGAGATGAAGATGTCAAAGACTGGCCGGGCGGTGCCACAGGCATCAAGGAGTGCGCCAGTCATCAAGCAGGCAGAGTGGCATCACATGCTGCAAGTTGCAGGTGCACATCTGCGGCTGGGCAGTTCTGTCGGCGCGTGAGTCAGCTAGATCTGTTGATCCGCTCCAGTGCATGTTAAACGAGAAGGGACAACTCGAAAACTACGTGAAAGTGGGATACTCGAATTAAATGGATGGCCATTCCTACAGCTTAACAGAGCTCCTACGCACAAGGTAAAATCCGCTCTTCGTCCAGCAGCCTCGCAGCATATTTGCCACATGAACTGCCGGGAGCAAACGTTCGTGCCGAGGGACTCGCAAAAGCACTGCCATACTTAGACTTAGTTGAGATACAAAGCGTGTCTGCAGTTGTTGTGAGTTAACAATTTTCGACTCGGCACAACTAGTCCCTGTTCAGATCAAGCCCTCAGTCAATCATCTGATCATCACCACGATCGTGGTCTGATAGTATCTTTGCAGATAGGCTGAGGTTGGTATGCATGGCCCCTGTAAAATCTGTGCCACATTGCGCATCTTGTTTTTTTTGGTTGGGCCTGGCAGCTTGTGTTGTTCAGCAAGTGGCCTAGCCAAGTGAGATTCCAGCCTGGGTTGGGTCGAACAATCCATCATCGCCTCCAGCGTTCTGATTTGGATTGTAGGCGATTGGGTTGGGCTGGGCTTCCCAATTGACCACACGCACAGATCGTCCAGGAAGATTGTTCAGCTCTTCGGAGAGAATTCGCTGAGCGCCTCCTGTGCCAAAGCCCGAGAGTCTTTCACAGACACTGGTGCTGGCCTCCTCACCGCGGATCTGGATCCTGAAGCAAACACCGATAGTCTCATCCAAGCGGCGAAATGCAGAGCGGACATCAAGGCGTCTGGCTGCATTTGGGCACGGCAGGGTCAACTCAACGGTGCTGTCGTCGATGTTTGGCCCGGCAATCTTGGCAACCGTGCGCTTGAGAGCAGCGACTGCATCATCATCCTGTTGGAATGAACCTTAGTTGTTCTTGGGCCAGTTGCAAAATTAGGATAACTAGGTCCGCTAGGCATCTGGGGTTCCATTCAGCGTTGCTGCGACCAAGGAGCCAGCGTCAGGTACGGCAAGCCTGAAACTACCAATGGCGAAGAAGAGCCCAAGGCCGGTTGACAGGCCGATGCCCACGCCCAAAGAGACTGCGAGAGCAGCTCCCAAAGTTGACCCCAAAGCAGCGCCAATCACTGCACCATCGTTGCCCTGCCCGATCGGCACGAATGGAGCGGGCGCAGGTGGCGGCGGCAGCGTAGTAAAGGTGACAGTTGTCAAGGTCGCTGTAATGGTAGTCAGCGTGGTCGTTGACAGACTCGTTGTTGTCGTCGTGATGGTTGTCACCGAGGTTGTTGTCCCAGAGGTGCTTGTCGACGTCAGGCTTGTTGTTGTCTGAGTCTTGGTTTTTGGGCAGGTATGGCAAGTGTACTCTGCTTCGTCCTCGCAATCTGCACAATCGCAGTACGTGTCATTCACGAACTCGAGAGGGATCTGGCAGTAGATGCTGGTGCACACAAAAACAACCTTTGTGGTGGTCATTGTCGTCGTGTCCCAGCCAGGATATTGCTTCGAGTACCACCCCTGCATCCCCGACAAGTCCTTTCCTTGGTATCCAAATTTCTGGCAGACTTTCTTCTTGCCGTACAAACCTCCATAGAGCTTACCCCACAGCCACCTGTAGTGCCCGCTTCCCATCTTCCAGATGTTGAATCCGCGCTTCACTCCACCATAGTATTGGCTCCACTTGCCGCCATATAGGATCTTGTAGTACTTGGACCAATACTTAGCATAGTGCTTGGGCTCAGCCGGCTTCTTGGCAGCGGAAGGCAAACCAGCGGAAGGTATGCTAGCAAGAGGCGGGCTGGGCAGCGTAGCAGGTTTTGTCATGGCCATGGGTGCTGGTGGCTTGGCTGCTTGTGGCTTGGCTGCTGCTGGCATGGCTGCTGGTGGCACGGCTGCTGCTGGCTTGGCTGCTGGGGGCTTGGGCACCGAGATTGCCGCTGGTGCTGGTGTGGTCTGGACTGGCTCCTGTGGCTCATAGCCGTACAAGCCATTTTGCGCTGGAGGCTTGCTCCACCCCATGCCACCGCCATAAGCGGGCCACTTGCTACCCCAACCACCGCCGTAGTTGCCCCAGCGGTTGCCATACCAGCCCCTGCCATACCAGCCCTTGCCATAGTTGCCCCAGCCGTTGCCATAGTTGCCCCATCCTGCGCCAGAAGCAGGAGCACCCGTGGCGTTGCCTGCCATCATGGCAGATGGATTGTTGCCCCATGCGCCCTTGCCATTGTTGCCCCAATTGCCCCAGCCCTGGGCGGGAGCCTTGTTGTCCTTTGGGGGAGCGGTTGGCTGGCCCTGCGCCCAGGGCTTATTGCCCCATGCGCCCTTGCCGTTGTTGCTCCAGACTTGTCCCGGAGTAGGTTTGTTGTTGCTCTGTTGAGGGGCTTGTGGCTGGTTTTGGGCCCAGCCATTGCCCCAGCCTTGGCCAGGAGGAGCACCCTGGCCGTCTTTGGGGGGGCTCTTCATGGCTGCAGGGCCCATGGCTGCAGGATTGCTCCACCCACCCATTCCATTGCCATACATGTTGCCGTTGCCGTACATGCCATTGCCCCAGCCTCTTCCCCAGCCTCTACCCCAGCCGCCGTACGCTGGGCCCCAGCCGCCTCCAAACAGGAGACGGTCCGCGGACTTGAGACCCTTGCCCGTGTAGTCGCCATAGCCTGGATAATGTCCCGGAATTGGCGCAACCGCGTAGCACTCAGGAGGGTGTGCCATTGGGTAGCCTGGTAGGGGAGGCAAGCCAGCAGCTTGTGGGCAAGTGGTAGTCATTGTCAATGTTGTCTTCGCGTAGTGATATTTGCAACCGGTATACCACCCGCACACGGCAGGACACCCTCCGCCTTGAAGGAACCCGCCTGGAACTTGAGAATGCCCCATCTGATTCATTCCGATCAGGTCAAGGCCCGAGCGGTCTGAATGGTCCGTGTCAGACCAGTCCTCCTCACTTGCATAGTCTGGGACTCGCTGACTTGCAGGGGCGTCAAACTCTTGCGACTTGTCCATGTTGTTTGTGGCTTTCTCATCCTTGGACATGAAGTGCTCTGCCATCTCGTTAGCCACGAGCAAGGTGATGCTCAAGGTCACCCCGAAGGGTCCCCACCACCTCCACCCACAGCTCCTTCCATTCCTCACAACAACCTGAGATCGTCGTTGCAAGCTCTGAAGCTCCTCGTCTGCACCTGAGTCTGTGTCTGACTGCGAGGCAGCCATAGAGGTCATGGCCGCCATATCGCCGACGGTGTTCATGGCTCTTCGGCTTGCGGAGTGCGATTTTTGTGGCGCTCCAAAATAGGCTGCGGGCCGAAATGCGCGTGCAAAAAATCTCTGGTGCTGTAGTGCCAACTCGCATGGCATGACTGGCTGCAACATGTAGGACACAGGCTCCTGGGAATGAGACAGGAAATCTAGCATAGACTGGCAAGAGGCCACATCGTCCATATCACGAACTTGGGCAAGGTGTTCCAGGCAGATCGCTCTTCGGAAGTCATCCTTGGGAGTCTGAACCCGTCTACACGCTATCCATAGAGGCCTTCACCTCCTCAGCTTGCGGCTGGGCAAAAGTGTGGAAGATAAAGGCGCGGACGTTGTCATCCACTCCTCTGCTGTCAGGGCGGCTCATGGCCAGGGACTCACAAGGCTTACTTTAACTTACGTACATCCAACTTACCACTCTGCCCTACTGCTAGTTCCTGCAGGCCTTCCCATCGACCCCATCTAGCTTGTCAAACATGACACGCAAACAAGACCGCTGGTGAACAACTGGCAATGCTTCAAGCACAATGACCGTCTATCTTGCTCAGGCGATGGCCAAACGGTAATTTGTGCTCCAGGCCCACGTTGTCTTGGCCGGACGGTGGGCTGCTACAGCCGACCTGACCAAGCGTCGCGGCATGGCTGGCGGCTGGATTTGGGCTCTTTCATACACATAATTAGGAGAACATGCCATGAGTGAATACCGCTTTCGAAGCAGCCACTGAGAACACGTCTGCCTTCGGGGAAGGCATCCGCACTGATTCACAGAGCGGAAATAAAGCTTCTGGGCTATACAGTCCAAGGAGGATCAGTGCAGAGCGAGAAGCGTCTTCTGCAACACGCAGTCTGGGACCTGACCTGGGCATCCATCGCTCAAAACCTTTGGGTGAGACATGCTGTGAATATGTGTGGCCAGGCAGCAGCGCTCGAATGTCAGGATCGTGCAAGAAGATCTTCTCCCGCACGCGCTCTGCCTGCCACTACACTTCGCAGTCGCCTGGTTGCTGCCGAGCTGTAGAAAATCTGATGACAGATCTTGCACCTCCTTGAAGGACACGTAACAAGTTCCGCGCTTGCGCAGGAACCGCAATCTGCGGGCTGTGCGTTCCTCGCGCTGTTTCTGTTGCTAGACTTGAATTGCTCTTGGTTGGTACAAGGACCTCTCAACTCCAGCCTCAGGCCAGAAGTGAGCAGTCACAGCAAGAGAAACTTCTGGCTTTGAAATTAGTCTGGCGTCATCAATGAAGAACGCGCGCATGACTTCAGCCCTGAGCTCCGCAATCGTTGCCTTGGAGGTCCTTGGCTCCAGGCGCTTTGAGATGCACTTGGACTTCTGGACCCTGGCAGCTGAATTGACAAAGAAGCGAACTCGAGGGCTTTCAGTCGAGGGGTGACGCACCCGAAGGCCAACAACATGTTTCCAAAGCGGTAAGACTTCCGACTTCCCAGCATTTGCTTGAACATGACACGCACACGCATGATGTTACCTTTGTAGCTCCGGCCAAGATTCATTTCCACTTTCATTGCCGGCTGATCTGGAGATCTCAGCTTGTGATTCTTCTTCTTGCAAGAGTGGGACCGGAGCATCTAGCATATCCAAATCCAAGTGGCTGCATGGACAGCAGCGAGACAACGAGCGGTGCTCCTGAAAGTTGATGGCATGTCATTGACCTTTAGTGCGCCCGCATAATGATGAATCATACAACAACTGCTCGCGGTGCCCCACGTCCACAGGAGGTGCCTCCGCATGGCTTGGTCTTGCTTATGGGATCCACAGCGTTCGACCTTGGCTTGCAATGTAGATGCCGGCGAGTTGGAGGGAATTTCACACTAATCAAGACCAGCTACCCCAGCTCCACTGGCAGACTTGCGGGGAGAGGCACCTGCTCAGGTCATAGAACTAAGTTGTTGCTGATTGCGAGCGCATGAAATCTCGAACTGCCTCTGGGATCTCCACGGTATCGGGAGGCTTGCGTTCTTCAGGCTGCGCGGCATCAATATCAATGCCAGCCTCAAGGCTTTTAGGCCCCGCAGTTCGGAATAGGGCAGGGAGTGAAGACTGCTGGACTGGGCCTTCAAACTCACTTTAAACAAGTTGCCTGCGGCAATGCACAGGCTTCAGAGGTCAGCGGTGGCCCAGCAGCATTCCTCGGCAAGGGCACTGCCTCCACGCATGCGAATAACGCATGCCCTTGCCCAAGTCAAGTTGAATAATTTCTCTTTACCGGTGCTACATGAGGCACTGTGTTCAAGCTCAATTTCCTGCATGAAGCGAAATGGAGGTCCCAAACAAGGCTTCAGCCGTTCTTAAGGGCGTAGAGGCGGTTACTAGTCGGTGAAGACCTGCGCCCATAGTGACTGAAGGCGTACTTTCTGGTGGAATGAAATCGGCTATGCCTGAGGCGAATGTCAAGGCTAGCTGGGCCCACGATGGCTGAGGTGCCAGTCGTTCTGAGCACAAAGACCTTCCCAAGCCTTTAAGGTCTCGTGCCAGTCCCAGAGCTGCCAAGATTAGGTGTTGCGAGCTCACGCCTGTTGGGCTTCGGGCTCTGGTTTCAAGCTCGAGCAATGACAATCCACACAACATGTTTGTCTGGGCCTTCCAATGCGCAAAACACATAACCAGGCATTGCTTCTGCTACAATATATTGAATCCACCTACTGGGAAAGCCAGTGAAGGCATGTCCTGCACAGTTTCAATTCCAATTCTGGCCTCATATTACATCACATGCTCGGTTTTAACAGTCCACCCTCCACAAGTACTTCTTTCTAACTTTAAGTTTGGTCTTGCGAATATCAAAGTAGACAGAACGGCTCAGCTGTTGCCAAAGAATGGTGCTGGGGGTCTAAGCAGGATAGCTGAAAAGCTACCCTGTCAATGGCGCTGGCAAAGCAATCCCCGGGTCTGTTTGCGAGAGTTGCTTTCCCCAAACGTTCTCAAATGCTGCACCTTTAAAGGCTTGAAGGGACGGCATGGTTTGTTCATCATACGTCAAAGTCAGATTTTGTGAGCATGCTGCTCAAGCGTCTGAGACTGCATTTGGATCGTAGCCGCGCTGGCTAGATCGACCGCTTGGGTTTCAAGCTCTTTGTCGAAGTTCTCAAGCTGAAGGAGTTCCTCCAGATGTACTGTTTGCACTATTTTGCACTGTGCTCTTCACAAACTACCTGCTCGATACTGCCCCGGCTTTTTGAGCACAGACAAGTGCAATGATGGAAGCCAAGTCTAGTGATCTAGTGAGTCTGAGGAGTCCTCGTTCGGAGCTGCAGTATCCATGTCATGCTTCGGCATCGGCTCAGCTGAAGGCAGCAAACAGGTGTCCTCAGCAACCTCATCAGGCGCATTTTGATATAATTAGTCAACTCTCCAATGTGATGCAGGTGTTCAGGCAGACCATCGTGCAGCAGCTTGTAATGTCTGGCAATTGTGCAACCAAGGCACTTGCTCGTCTTTGCTGTGCAGACCCTCTGCTTCGGCTAATCCTCGGATGCTGCTTCATTGTGGATAGCTTGACTCTGATCTCGACATCAAGAACCACCGCAGTCAAGACACGTGCTTCCAGTATGGAGATTTGCGCTCGCAGCTCGGCATTTTCAGCTTCCAGTCTGCTTGGCCTGCGCAAGACATCTCGTGTGGGCAGCATCTGCGCAGAACATTTCAAGGCCAGGCTTCATGGCCTTGTCTGAGCGCGCGCTGGCCCCGACAAGAGCAAGATATTGCCCCGAAGAACCAGGTCCTGTCTTGAATGGGTCTGTTGGGAAGCTTCCCGCTTTCACGTTTTCAAGGCCTGCACGTCCACAAGAAAGAAAGAGATAAGAAAACCATAAGGACTGTGGAGACTCAGTTTTGTGTAGCAGCCTCTCCGCCTCTCCGATTCAGCCTTGGTCTTTCCTCGACGTCATCGAAGAGTTCTCCCAAGGCGTCATCGTCAGACAACGGCACGTACGTAGCACCAGCTGAAGCGAGCATTGTCACATGCTCCATCGACGCTACCCTGCAGATCACAAAAATGTTCAGGGTGCCTGTGGTTTGGTCCAGTAATCGCTACATCAAGGTCTTGCCGAGACGCTGTTGTTGAACTGCATGCCGCAGCTCTGCGACACTTGAAGCCGAAGTCAAACCGGTCCTTTGCAAATGCTGAAGTAATAGCGACAAATGGACCCTTGTGATGGTCTCGCCACACATAGTCACAACACAACCCTGTAATAACTTAGTAGGCCTTAATCTTGACCAAACCTTTGCGCCTGATCCTGTACCTATAGATAGGTTCCAGGTCGGTCTGGCTTCCAGTAGTGCACATACAAGCCAGCCTTGAACTTGCCTCTACGAGCAATTCTCATCTACTGCCTTCAACAGAAGAGCCGCATCACTTCTGCTGCACGAACTTCGTCAGGCAGAAGGGAGTCCTGTTATCCCAAGCGCTGTGCACTCAAGCTAAGGAGGCAGGTTGCATGAAGACGGTTGCACAGCAGCCACAGCTACTTCAAATATGTAATGTTCCACCGGTCCTGCAGCGCCTCGATCGAGCGGTGCATCCGCGGCCTGCGGCGGAACAGCACGTGGGCAACGGTAATGACAAAATGACATCGGGCAACTTCCTGCAAGCAAAGGTTGCTCCAGCTGCTCTATCATGAGGTTCGCACTGATTAAGTGTGGAGGGGGGAACTTGCCCATTTGTGGGGGGACCCTCGGAAGACCAGGTGCTTTACTAGAGTGGTTTCTTAAGCAGGCACAAGCCGTTTTCATTGTCGCGGGATAGCCAGTAGATTCGAACAAACAAAAACCATTGACTCCCAGCATTGCCGGAGCTGGGATATGTCACAGCCATCGCATGAAAACGACTCTGGCCTGCTCTGATTCACACAAGTCTTGTCGGCACGTGCTTGATGATACTTCATACTTCCACGTGTCCACACACAACTGACCGACTACGACTACAGCAACAGTTCACCAATCAGGGCAACGAAGAGCTTTAATACGCATGTGCCCGGTCGCCTTTCGCCGCACGATGAGATGTCCTTCCAGCAATAATTCAATCACGCTTTGCACCCCTCTGTGTCCTCACGAGGATCTGCAGCTACAGCTTTTTTGTCAAGCGGCGGCTACCTTTCTACTTCTTCCTTCGCCGTGTGGCATATGGACAGCAGAGAACCTCGTCACCGGCCCAGGTAGACTCCGAACTTGGCATCGGCACGTTGCCTGAGCTGAGAACAAACGAGCCTCATCAGTCTTGGCCACATGCTGCCTTGACCGCTGCAAATTCGCAGGACAGCAGGCGCACATCTACAGGCCTATTCCAGCATGTAGCGAGCATGACTCTCTGAGGTGATCACTGCTGTCCAAGCCTAGATCTGATGCGCAGCTTTCATCCTCGGACTCGGAATCGGTCGCCATGTCAAAGCACTGCCTTATTCACAACAGGCACGGAACCCGAGCGGTATGATGTCTTTGCATCGAGGCTGGGCATCTTTTTTGCACCTGGTTTGAGAGTCTTCCAACAGTTCTGCCAGGAGGCACAGGCTCTTCTGGCTTCGGCGGCGGTTTGTCCTGTATTGTAGCCTACATAAGCTGATGATTCAAAGCAAGAAAAGAACCCGACTAAAACTTGCGCGACACAAAGATTGCATTTCAGCTTCGAGTCCTGGATGGATGCAAGAACTTCCTGAACGATGCCCGGGCGGATGGGCATCGCGTGAGGCTGCTGCTGACTGGGACCGGGTGCTTCCTGCAAAGTGTGGCAACATGCTATGCCCTGCGCTTGTACTGAGCTACATTGGCTATACCCGGCAGGCAAGACATGAAGGTGCGAGCAAGACACCCCGGCCGCCACGTTTTCCGGCACAGCATTCTCGCCCGGCCAAGTTGCCACCTCTGGCGACTTACTTGCAAACCTTTAGCCTGAAACCATACCTCACATGCTTTTTGTAGCGCCACCATATCAAAGAAATACCCATACGGATCGTGAGCTGCTGGCCCGAAACTTGTTTTGCTTTTGAAGGACCGCCCTACCCGAAAAGCCACCCTAAGGCCTATACACCCCAAAACCCCTATAGAAACTCATGAACCCCCAAACCTCCACTGTGAGAACCTGCCTGCGCAAGCTGTGGCTCGGAGAGGAGTCTCCGACGCTGGAGGATGGCGGCCAGGGCTGGGTCTGTCACCTGAGTTGGGAGCCCCACTCTCCATAGGGCCGTAAGGATTTGGAATGCTTAATGCCCACCTAATTTGCTCATTCAAGCAGGGAAGCATGAGACTCAATTCCTGAGCTTGAAAGGAAGATGTAGGGTCCTGGAAGCATGACACGTTGGACAACATAGTGCCACACCCAGCAAGCAACTGCAGAGCGCAGATTTGACACATCCCCTCGTGTTGCAGGGTACTTAAGAAGTCCAGGTGTGTCTTCCGGGCTGAGACTGGCAGCACACTTGGCAGGCACTCGTCAGTTCAACCACAAACTACTCTCTTGAGTCCCCAGTACATTCCCAACTTAACCCAGGCCATTAAGGACGCTGCACTCATGAAGCCGACCATGGACCACAAGTCTGCAGCCAAGCAACTGCCCCATGCATTTGGAAGAGGTTGTCTGCCCTTGCAAAATCAGCACGAAAAAAGGCAGCATGTTCTGATAGCTGCGCATACAAAACCAGATTCAGAACAGATGTCACACACACCCAAAACTGAAATTCCCTACGAACTTGTCTAGCGTCATCACCTTGCCTCCAATTCTCCACTCTCAATTTCACCTTCAGCTGGCGCTCCAAAGGGCAAACGCCATGGCAGGGAAAAAACTACATGCCCAGTAAGCTGTGAAAATCAGTGTTTGTTGGACTGCTTCATCCTTTGCAAGTGGCTTGAGGCTTGTCCATTGTGCTTCTTGCGTTTTTCGTACTTGTTCTTGCCGTTCTTGTAGCAGTTAGTTTGACAACTGTGATTCAGCGAAGGTCCTGCGTTCAAAGTGGCCAAAAAATAGTGTTTGGGAGCTACTCGCAGTCTGGTAGCTTTTTTGGGGAGAACCATTTCACCTGGCACGGTCACGGCAAACGGCTGCAGAATGTCTGCCCTAACAGTTTTTGCAAACCTGCTGCACCTTACTCCGTGCTTTACCACAATTCATTAATTCTTGCACATCAGGGTGTAGGAATGCACATGTTCCTAAACAAGTACAGCTATCCCATGCAAAAAACAAAACACATACCCTATCTTCGCCTCAGATTGTGGCTCTGCCTTGCTGGTCTGGCCTTCTTGCGACTCAGCTGCGGGCAAAACCCTTCATCAATTTGCAGCGCATGGCCGAACGTCGCTCAACAATTTTTACTTTTGACCCGCTACTCCTTGCAGGCTCCGTATGTGGCAAATAGAACTTCAATGAGCAGATTCGGACCATGTGTTCTCCATCAACCACAGGTCTGCGCAGACAAACCTGCAGAGTAAGAGTTCCCTCCGAAAGGCAAAACTTAAACACATCGATCATCAGCAGGTGCATGAAGTTGCCCTGTTGCGTCTGACAAGCTTTGCGCTAAGCTGACTTCATGTTCCACCTGGGCGAGTAAACGCAAGCGTGACATCCGAAAGCAGCCAGCAGCATTTCATCCAAAACTAGCAGGCTAGCTTCTTCGAAGTGTACCCGAGGCAGGAAAGTACATGCAAACAGTTGTTCCAGCATCCCACAGCCCATGCTCAAAATCCGCTCAAACAGTCAAACTGGCAACTGCCTAGACCTGCAGCATCAATTTCGGTTGCTGGCGCGCGCATGACATGAAGCTTTTTGCATCCTTGAAGCAATGGCATGTCTTTGGCAGCCTGCCGCCCAATTTACGGCACTCATTGACAAACTGTATGCATTGGTTCAGCCTACACTCAACTCGTAGTCAGCAGTAACATTCCTTCAAAAGTCATGCTCAGGTTCAGCGTAACACGCTTGAAAACTGTGCGTGCGCACACTTCCAACAAAGCCCAATACTGCGGTACCTGGGCAGATGCCTTTAAGCATGCTAAGACATAGATACTCATTCCTAACAAGGTAGTACCGAACTGAGCTCTGGGGGCTTCCCACGGTAATGGCAGCTGCGCCTTTGGCACATGCCTTGTTTCCATGGCAGCAATGGCACAAAACATGACGGCTCACCAAACAGAGACAGCTCGGGCGACCTTCCATTTGCAGGCCACGCCTTCCACCTGCCAACTGAACCAGGAGAATTTCTTGCTAAGGTCCTACTGGTATGAACCTTTGCCCATCAGCTCGCGACAAGCATGATCAACCAAGAGTCAAACAGCCAAACACTACACCACCAGCTGTGATAAGGCCGCTTTGAAAGACAGAACATGAGCTACGGGCAATTATTACTACAGCAACCCAGATAGTCTCAAACGACCATCTGGATGCTGGCTTGCCACGGGCCGTTGGCCAACACGTGTCTAAGGCTTGTAATCGTCATGTCTCAGACGTCGCGCTTCAGAATTCACCCAACTGATCTGGAGTCCATCTCGAGGTGAACCAGAACGTCATGCAGTTGCCTCATCTTCTTCGCGCTGTGCGCATAAACACAGTCCTGCTTCAAAAGGCTTATCGAGCCAGCTTTGCAGAACACTCTCTTACATCATCTTACATCACAGCCTTTGTGCAAGAAAGGTGCTTTGCCAGCCTTTGTCCCACGGATTCCTTGCACCTTACTCTGCGTTATTCCCCAGCGAATTGAAAGTAGAGTTGCGACAAGTCAGCGTGGACTTTTGCTTCACTCGATAACCCTTCTCAGCAGCCAACTGTCATAAGTGAGCGCATCGTTGTCGAAAGCCTCGTTGTAAATGTCTGCATCCAGGTCTTTTGCTGGCGTGTTCCTTAGATCCCATTGACATGTCATGATATGTCAATGTCCCACAAGCTAGTGGTAGCGAATGAGATGCTGTGCATGTTTTGGCAGATGTACTGACAATCTCCAGCTGCAGATACAGCAGCTCCCCGGTCTCTGGGTCGATGAGCACCCAAAACTCCTTGCAGCAAAGCTCAAGTCTTGCATGCGCAGGCCAGTCAAACATGCTGCTCATATACTGCATTGGGCAGTGTTTTGGCGAGTGTGTGACGATAATTCAGAAAGGCGGCATCGTTTTTGTAGTCCTTTGCAAGCTCACTCCTTGAAACGAAGCCGACCTCATGCTGATGAAAGGCCAGAGCGAGATTCAAGCAAAACGTCTTGCTGGCTGATTAATCATATGGTAAGCTGAGCTGCATGGATGGTGAAGATGGGCATAATGTACTTGGCAAAGATGGCGGAGTATCCAAGATGCAAAATCACGAAGATTGGAAATCCTCAGGAAAACCCAAACCGCAAACAGGGGTCGTGGAACAGTATGCGCAGCTTTGGCTAGAGGGCGTCATAAACTATAACAACAAGGTCACGGTTACATCCCCGATCCAGTGGTTTTCTGCATGCCAAAGCATGAAACTGCTGGCAGGCGTGGCATTTCATGAAATGGGTTAGACATGTTGCGTGTGGAAATATGTCCTGCGGAATGTTTCCATATCATAAAAAGGGAGCCTAGGGGATGAACATGTTTGAGGATATGACCCTAGGTTTGGGCCTGGATGCTCTGGCGACCATATCCTCTTGCAACACGAACGTTATATCATTATGGTTTTGGCGTGGATGCTCTGATGCTCTGCTTTCGAAACTGCAGTATTTCCAACAGTTTTGCAGACATGGTTCTCGTATGAGAAGCATCCTTGCTCAGAATCGTGCACGAACCCCCAGTTCTTTTTGTCGTTTTGAGCTTAGAATTTGGATAAATGGCTTCTTCATAGGAAAACGCATGATTTCACCCAAAATGCGTGTTTTGAAAGTAGCTATTTCAGCCCGGCAAGAACAAGACCTGCAGTCTCACGAAATGCAACGCCTGCCAATGTTTTCACACCCTGAAGCGCAAGAAACCACAGGACCTGTTATGTAACCGTTACCAACAACAACAACAACAACCATCAACCACCACTGCATGCAACTTGCGGCGATCAGCAGCTCCTCTTTTGTGGTAATTCGCGCGTAAGGACTGGTATGGACACCCAGCCACAATCTGCTGCTGGAAATGCTAATCAATGCCAAGATGTGGTCATATTTGACGGGGGCCATGACTCTGCGATACGGATCTAGAACTGTCATTGCAACTGTCTAGCTTGGGGCGCGGCTGCCAAGCATGTTCATCAAAGCTCTGCAAGACTAATCGCAAGCACGCGATGCGAATACTGGCTGGAGGGGCCAGTCAATCAGGACTCAGCAGGAGTGACTTACTTTGAATGGTCACCATCAACGTGCTTAGTGTACCACCATGGTACACGTTTTCTGGTTGGAAGTGTTGACAATCTGACAGCAACCATCCCGTCCCGCGGAGCTGATGTACTAGATCTGTATGTGTGCATACATGTGTATATGTATATGTGTGTACATATATATATATATAGCACAAGTTGGAAGGACTCGAAAGGACGGTCCCAAAAGGAACAAATCACTTGGAAACGCTGTGCAACCCCAACATTCCTGTAACCCAATCTCAATACCCAGGTGCCTGTACATGATGATACCTGTGAAGTTTGTCATTCATAAAGACCATCAAGTTGCGACGCCCCTGCATGTTCCATTTTTTCTAAAGACCCGATTACCTGGCGCTGCCCGTGCGGGGATTTCTCACCTTTTTCAGAACAGCACTGAGAGAATGGAGTACGGGATGATTTCTTGGGTTTGAGGCAGGCCTGGTCTGGGCACACAGCAGTGCAAGTTAAGAACCCCGCATGTCAACTCAGAGCAACAGCGAGATTGGTTGAAACTAGTCCAACAGGTAGAACATAATATTTGACGGCCTCAGGCCGGCCGCTCCGGCATGAAGCCAGTGGCGGACGAACAAAATGCTTGAAATGACGCGCGCCGCTTGCGTTCATCATCACTGAGCTGCAGGCTGCAAAACAATAAACCTGTCTGCATTTTCTTATGGCCTACAACCCCCCTGATGCTTTTATGAGAAGATAACGGTTTGGCGGCACAACTCAACTCCTACTCAGGCTGGTGGCAGCCATATGCATGCTCTCTTGGGTGGAATTCAAACACCAGCTTTCGGCCATGTCTTTGTGGCGACCTTCAGTGCTGCCCCAGGGAAGAAGAGCTTTGCCGCAACGATTTGACCTTGCTTGGGCACAGGTTTCGTCATTAGGTGGCCTCCGGCGCTCTCCAGCTGGAATGCTGTTAACGTCTGACACTTCTAGTGACTAAATCGGCCGCGCAAGACAAGATGGCAGCACGAGCGAGGCACATAACAGTAAGTAGGTTTGGACTTGATGCTTCTGCTGGGATCTGCAGAAAAGCTCTCAGGCGATAACTGGAAGTCTTTGTCGCACTAGGGTAGGCCTGCTGCAAATGTTTGGAAACCTGCCGGTTTCTGAGGTGGCCCTGATAATGAATTCAGTTGATGCTCAAAGCTTTCAGACCTGCTCTGAATTTGCCTTGGAAACCGTTGAACTTGAATAAGAAAGGCCCAGACCCAGAAAGTCACAGCCCAGTCACAGAAACGTGGAAGCTTCACACCATCAGCTCGTAACTCAGAGATGGCTCGTCTTGCTGCAGCCTTCCGCGCACTGCTCAGGCTGTCAAGGGTCTTGGCAAAGGTTGTTAACGTCCGGCCGTACATGCGTTTGTTTCGTGGAAGTCCGAGAATAGCGCATGTGTAAGCCTCCGCAAAAGCTGAGTCGGCTTTCAGGCCAAGTGCTTTCACTTTGGATCCAACGGATAACACGTCTGCCAAAGGAGCTGCTGCGTAGCATGCAGTCAGAGTCGTCAGCGTGGCAATGTTTGGCATTAGTCCCTGGGCCAGCATCGACTCGAAAAGGAACATCGCAGCCGGAGTGAATTTATCCGAGTTTTCACATGCCATGATGGCCGAGTTGAAATGGCCCACTTCCGGCACCTCGGCTCTGTTGTAGATCTCCTGAAAGTCAGCGGCAGTCTCTCTAAACATCCATTGGACTGTCTGCAATGCCCCACCCCTCAGCGCCTGAACCTCAACATAAGAGATCCCCAAGCCAAGAGACAGAAAACAAGTAGTTCGATACGGACGTGGACTGTCAGCCACGCCTCTTGCCCTCACTCAGGCAGGCCTTGACCTTGACGGAACCTGTCAATTCTGGATCTCCCCCCGGGAGAAGCGTTTCGAAGAGATTTGTGACCTGTTCCCTACCCCAGATTGAGCCGGGTAATACGACTTGAAAGAAAACAAGTTCCTAAAGATGCTTACCAAAGACCGAAGAGATTTCAGTAACATCCTGTTTCCTACAGGGACCAGCCTTGCATTAAACAATCTAAAGGCCTGTGAGTTCACGAACACCTGGCCACAACATCTGCACATTCCTCGGGGCCTGGAGTGTGGGTCTAGACTAGGCTGCCTAAATAATATTCGGACATGAAAACAGGTGAAGAGCACACAAACGGCACCCAGGGCTGCGGAGCTCCTGCAGGGCAGCCTCGGCTGCATCCACGTCACCCTCCACGGCCGCTGCTTCCAGGCGCGCGGAGAGAAGCCTTGCCGCCAGCCCATCGACACAAATAAGTCCTACGAGTCAGCCTATGAGCTGTACTCCAGCATTCAGAGGCAAAGCAGGGACGACATGCTCTCTCCAAAACACCTGCGCTGCCTCATCAGCGGTAGCATCCTCTGAAAAATTGTGATTTTCGCCCTTTCCCCCCCACCCCCGCCACTAATGTGCGGGGTTACACGAATGATACTGCAGTGTTCACGGGGCCAACTACTCAACCTACTTCACTGCTCCTGCTTCACATTCTACACTTATTAGCAGTGCCGCTACTCGGCGCTACTTTCTCAAAATTGACCACTCCAAGCCCTTCTCTTTCTTTTTTATAATAGTACTGCTACTCCCCTAGCTCAAGATTTTTGAGAAACCATCTAAGCCCAACATTAGCAGCAGCAGGGGCACCAGAAAAAAACGAGGCCAAGGAGTTCTCGGCTACGCCAAGTTGCGCAGCGTTCACGGTGCCAGCATCACAAGCGTCATCCCACACTTGCCGCACACGGCCAAAGGAGCGAAGCTTCCTTGAGAAATGCAGAAGTGCGACTCAGTGCGACTGCGTGACTTGATAAGGCTGAAGTAGAGTCAGCTACCGAGCAGCTACTGGGGCAGCAATGTGCTGCCCATGGTTGCTGGCCAAGTATCGTAAAGATACGGATTGCTCCAGCTTGAAGCGCAGCATCATTTGAATTATCTTCATCTGCAGCACGGAATTGTTCATAGATCTTGGCACCCTCACGGTATCTTCCGCAACGATGCGCGACGGCCAAAGCAGCTGTGAAAACAGCCGCAGCGCAGCCAGTATACTTGCCAAGCAGCGCCTGTGCTTTGAACCAATTGCCATCGCGGCCAGCATCTTTGAGCTCCATGACCAAGCGCTTCTCCAAGGCCACAGGGGGTCGCGAAAAGCCGCAACTGGGAAGCAGAAGCGCCATACACGCGCACCAAGCAAACAACGTCAAACCACACCTGGCTCTTGCTGAGCATCGCATGCCCCACCACTTGACCCTATGTGGTCCAACTCTGAAGTTGCAGCCCGCGTCCCATGCCGAACATTGCGCCTGGAAGCCTCCCTGGCTCGATGCTATAGCTGAGCCACAGAAAGGACTGAAATGAGTTTCAACGAGCGCTCTTCAATATAACCTCCAGGTAACATCTCACCAGGTCACTCAATTATTCTGCGGAGCCAAGGGTCGGAATTGAGGAATGCACCACAGCAGCAGGGCAGCGTCCACGGCGACACCCAGCACTGCAATAGTGGCAAGCCCTGTGCACATCACCTGAGAAGCATGCTATCCCGGAATGCCGGCACCAGCATCGGGGGGAACACTTAGTCATGTCACTGATAACCAACGAAGAAACGCAAGATAAATAACATGTCAGACAAGCGAAGTCTCAGCCGCACACCATGAACTCTCGGTGGTTGTTCAAGCCTATTACCTAGGCGATGAGATGCTTGCAAGTTCTGGCTTGTGGATATGCTAGCGTTCTGGCAGACTTTTACGATGATACAAGCTTCATAGCTCCAGGCTTTCACGCACTTCCCCGGAATCCGTGCGCTGCTGCTTTGGCAGTGGAAACTTCCAACGATGAATTGAGAGAGTTGGCCTGAGCACTAACCTTCTGTCTGAAGTTGCCGCGCATAAGCCATCTGCCGAACATGTGCGCTCATGATTGCTTATGGTATGTACTTATTTGTCTGATGAGGTCATGGCTCGAGAGTGTGTTCCTTTGTTTTGTGGACTTTTGCGGGTTTACAGACCTTGCTCTGACATTCCAGGCCACGTCTTTCACTCAAACTTGTCAGGGCACAAGGAATATTGATTGCTGCATAAGATGCGTTCGTGACCCATCGACAGTAATGGTCAAAGCGTAGGATCGGACGCTTGTACAGCCTCAGCTGTCGTTCCAAGTCTTTTGGTGCCAAGGCCTGCTTCTTGTGAAAGTCTGCGAAGGCGTTCAGCAAGCCCCGTGTTCGCACAAACATATCAAATCTTATCAAATCACGTCATAGCCTAGAAGCCAAGCTTTGTGCGACCGCTTGGGCAAGGGAAGGCCAGCAGACTGTATGTCGGCATACTTCTCTCGGCTCATCTGACCTGCATTTGCAGCTGCCATATCATGTGCCAAGGATGGCAGGGTCACAGTGTATCCCGCCTGGGTCCGATAGAAGGCACAGCAAGAGGCATGCCAGCGTAACCTCAGACTTGATGAGCTCTGTCTATCGAATTGAAACCTAGCTTGGATCGGAGCATCGCTGCTGAAGGATGGCAGCCTCTTTTGCCCTCCTGTGCAACAACCTGTGGATGTTTTGCTGCAGGAGCTTCCTTTGATTGATTGAGTGCCACGTCTACCCTGGGAGAGAGCTCAAATCAATACGTTTCCTCCAATATGCCAGCTGCTGCGGCCGCTGACTTGTAACTTGAGCTAAGCGGCAAGATAAAGAACCTCAGTAAATGCGTTCATGATAATTCACATCTGCGAAGTTTGGGCTCGCTTGGTCTCAGGTCGGGGCCAAGAAGAAGTTGGTGAACAACCACGAACTTCCACACCTCAAGCTAAGCTATCCTTAAAGTTGCTTGCCACAAATTGATGTTACCCAGACAATGGAACTTACAGGACCGCAGCAACTCAAACGACAATGAAGCGGGACTACGGGCAGAAATGTGCTCATCAATTTTCTTGTCAGCTTTTGCCATAAAGCAACATGTTGACCTGCTGACATGCCAGCTGAGTCATCACAGACAAAGAGCATCTCGTAGATGAGAGCGCGTTGCTCGGTCATCATGCAAAGGGCGCCAAGCAGAAGAGACAGAACTAGCACTGTGGGAAAAAAGGGTCGCTCGTCGAATATGCCTGGGAGTTGCAAGGTTGCAGGTCATCTGGAAGACATGCTGCCTTGAAATTCTGGTGGCCATTCCATCAATCATTCTGTAATGTGAAGCAAGATGCCACACACTAGCTTTGCTTGAAACTGTGGTTTGACCGAAGGCTCCTCCGATGCTTCTTCGGTTGCTTCCTCAGCTTCGACATATCTACGTTTGGGAAGTGGAGACTGTGTCGAGACTGCACAGCACTTGCTTACACATAAGCCCAGCTGCATCCTGTGCTTCCTCCTGACATTCCGGTCAGACCCAACAGCTTGTGGCAGAATGCAAGAAAACATGCTAATTACAAGAGGCGGTGGCGCGTCCTCGGGTGCAGTTAGACTTTGTCCAATGGGCCCCTCTGATGTAAGGAGACTGGTCATGGCATCACTGCGTGTCCTCTCCAGCTCAAAAGTTCAGGGCTGGCACTGGAGGCATGAGGTCCGAAATCTTGAGAGCCTAGATAAAGCAACGTTCGGTGAAGCCATGAGAACTGACGTGCTCGCGCTAGGACTCCTCCCAAACATGGCACTTGGTCGTCGCCCCATGGGTTCGCCACCCCCAAGGCTGCTCATCCTACAGGGCGTCATGCGCTGTGATGCTGGTAGGATACCTATAGCTACCTCCCATCTTGGCCACACAATGTCTTTCAAATTTTAAAGCCTCTACGCAGAACATGACCCAGAAAACCTCCATGATGAACGTCGTTCCATGGCTAACCGTCAGAGTCCCTGTGCCCCCTTCCCTGAACATGCCAGACAGCCGCCAGGCAATGCCAACAATGCCTGTACATCCCAGGGTGAAGTGGTTGTCCATGTACCGGTGAAGAAGGCTGCTGCGACTGGCTGTAGGCCTTGGCTTTCTTCAGCTGCAAGAACACCACCAAAATGTGTCCCGGAGCAACTGGGAGCATCCCCCCATGACATGCAACCCGAGGCACATATTGATTGTAAGCCATGGTTTGGGCGGAAGCTTCCCCACCAATGGCCAAGTGCAGTGTCAAGCTAGTGTCACCCGGTTGCGTGCTGAGAGAAGCTATGCCAAGCTGATCAGCTCATCATGTTTGCAACACACTCCAGAAAATGAGCCGCAGTGCCTTGACCCAAGACATCGGGCATCCAGCAATCACTTGAAGTTTAGATTCCGGGGCACATCACTTACAGCAAGCAAGGAGAAGGCGACAAAGATTTTGAGCCGCTGTTTCCGAGAGGATTGAAGAACTTGGTATTGCCATCTGGGCTTTGCATTCTGATGCCTTTCCTGCTTGCCAGCGTCATGTCATCGCGTCATCGAATTATAATTACAGGGTGGGTTTCCTAGAGTTTCTGCCAAGCTGTTGAGGTTCCCAACTGCGTGCGCAAGCAGGAAAGACTTGTTGCCCGCACTGAGTAATCCCTCAGGTCAGGGCAAAGTTTCACGGCCGAAGACACTGCATCTCTGCAACAGACAGACCGTTCGTAGATGATCTTACAGAATGCCGATAAATTACCAACGCCTTGTGTAGTCTTTGGCCAGGATGCTGAAACCTTCCACACCACAGCATGGGCCACACCTGTGCATCCTTTAGCCAGCCGTGGATGGACCGCTCAAAAATTTGCTCAGCGGGAAGTTGCTGAACCACATAAGGTGGAAGCCTTCTGAGCCTTTCACCCACAGCACGAACTCCCTTGGCTTTGGTGCTGTTTGCATTTGCTCGCGACATGTTGCCCGACAAGCGCAGAGAAAAGCTTGAGTACCGCACATGTCAAATAGACTCACTGCCTTGCCCAGCGGCTCTTTGGAGAGCTGCGCTTCTGAAGCCTGAGCGACGCCTTCCCAAAAATTCGCGCAGCGGGCCAGCTCCCGATCTACCTGTCAGGGCATGTTGTTTAGACAGGATGTTGGCTCTTTTTTGTGTTTGTCTTGGGCTTTGCAGAAAGCGTCAGTTCTCAAGCCTTGTTATCTGTAAGGAGGTCTTGTACGCTTTTGTTTTGCAAGTGACAGCCTCTGCGCGTAGAGCCGTCTCCTCAGTGCTGAAAGTAGCACCCGCCTCCTGCATCATGCGAACAGGTTCACTGATGTTCGCTGATATGTGGCTGGAGGCAAAGAGGTCAGGCGGCGTGCCTCCATCTTCCTAAACCGGTCAAACAGCTCTGCCCACAGCTTCACCTGCACACCAGGCAGGCAATTGCGCATGATGTGCTGATCCAAACTATCTCCAAGCTCATACCATCTCATACCCATGGTTCAAAGAAATGGCCTCTCCAAAGTGGAAAGGCCGTGCAAGGCCGACTCGCCGCGCGAGCTCGGCGCGAAGCTCCAGGCAGGAGCTACGTCCCTAGCCACACACGGCATTTGCACTTCAGAACCACGGGTAACTCGACAGGGCATGCGTCCAGGCCTCGAAGTGGAAGCTCAGAGGGCACAGAAGGTTGAGGCAGCGCACCTGGCTACAAGGGCTCGAGGTGGTCGGTGGCTTCTTATTTGCAGTGTAACCGTTACATGAATTACAAACGCATTACAAGCACTCGACTCTACTATGCTTTATTACATAGGTTCTCTTCAATCTTGCTGTATGCGGCCTGGCCTCCGGAGGGGCCAGGGGCAGCTCTTGTCGCTCGCCCTGCAGAGTCTGCGCCCCACGACATGACCAAGGACCATTTACGAATGCCTCCTGCAGCGCTCGTCGGGTCTCGGCAGCGGCTGCAAAGTAACGTTCCTTGAGCTCCTGGCGTTGGCTGCATTTAAGAATGGCTGGGCCAATACCTTCCCTGCGAAAGACAGCATCCGACCAGCAACTGCTCTGCCATGCTCTGCCCAGCCCAGGACACCACATGGCATCAGAAGTTCTGCTTTGGACTTCTTGGCAAACAGATCGATCGAGCATTACAGTTCACATCCCCCACCACTGCCTGATATTCGTCCCGGCTGACGGTCTGCAGGCCTTGGCAGCTGTGATCTGAAGCAAAACACCAAGAGATTGAAAAACGGGAGGCAGCGAAAGCTAGCAAGTAGTACAGTCGTCACAAAGAGGCAACGCTTGATTAGCATGACGTATGACTAGTTGAATAGAGCCAACTCACGGCCCAACAGAATCAGAAAAAAAGGTATAGAATAGAGCAAACTTTTGTCCCATATGGATAGCGTTTAACAACAAGGCAGAAAGGAATAACGGAATAACGGTATGCTCTCAAGGAGCGTCCACAACAGACCTGCCTTTTGAATTCCCCAGGACTCCAGGACGCCCCCGAACAACTTTACCTGTGCAGCCGCAGCCCAGGAGCCATTGATCCACACCTCCTTGCTCTCCATCCTTTGCAGGCTGTCCAGCATCAGCTTGCGCGAGCTTGACAAGGTCGTTTCGGAGATGGCGCCTTGCAGTGAAGGCACCCTGGAGGCCCTGGATGTAGTGACACTTTCGGAAGAGTGGCTAGCAATGCCCTCCCGCACTTGGGATACAAAATGGTTTGACGCAGGACCAGCCCGAAGAACCAAGTCCTACACAAACGAAGGACGATGAGTCTGAATCACGCCTGCTCCGAGGCCCTCTAGCGGCTCTTCCCAGCGGACAGCTGCTGCCTGCTTTGTCTAAATCACAGTGAGATGCCCTCCCATGATGAATTTGAGCTTTGGCATCCAGCGTCCGTCTGAACATTTGAACAAGTGGCGGGATACGAGAGCAGGCAAGGCAAACACAATTGTGACAGGCCTCGTAGGCTGCGTCACGCATGCCATGGGCTGCCAGAGTATGCAGTGTCCACTGAAATCGATCTGCGAGCGGCGTGCTGTAACCTTGGCATCATCTCTCACTCAGCCAATCCTCTGAGCGAGCAGCAAGGGTTCAATCTCTTTTTGAAGAACGCATCAGCATTGGAAGGTTTCGAGGCAAGCACGATCCAGAATTTCCTCGCCCTTTTGGATCGGAACAGTTGCTCGGAATACCATCACATCCTTGGCTTTCACGGCCGCGGAAAAGAACAGCGTGGCGAAGGCATGCGCTCAGGCCGCAGCCCCGATGAAGACGTGCGCTGTGTTCGGCCTGCCCCAGACAAGGATTGCATGAGTCAGTGTTGCAAGCAACTCTGGGAAAGCCTGTTGTCCGACTCCAGTGCGTGATTTACCTGGGCGCAGCTGCAAGACATTGAGGTACCTGCGCCTTCTAGCAAGAAGTTGTCAAAGCGCATACATCATCTGCATCACTTTGGGTCGAATAGTCACGAGCAGTATCACAGATGGATTGCGGCATGAGGACAGACACAACTCATGTCAGGTACGAGAGAAGACTGCCTGGGCAAGACTTTCAAGACCAAGGAGCCATAGGTGGCACAAGCCACAATCCTAATCCCGGCATGGGTGTCAACGTCTGCGGGTGACAGCCTGGCCAGCGGTGGGCCTAAGAGGCGAGCAAAGCTTCAACATTAGGATCAATGAGAGTGTTAAGCCAGCTTCACAATATACAACTGCCACCAGGCACGCAAGCAATGAAGCAAGGTCCTGCGTGAAGCCTAAGGCCACGACGTTGTGCTTCACAATTCCTTGCAACAGCGCAAGCAAGATCAGCTACATCTGATCAACCTTGCTCCTAAAGATGCATATCAGAAGCTAGACATGAGATGCATCGCAAGCCCGCCATGGTATGAGCTGGCCATCTGTGGTTCTACTCTACGTACTTCTACTCTTATCGCTAGGATCTGTTCCGAAACTGTATTCCAAGCCACGGCCAAGGCGGCGTTCCAGGACTGGCGTGCCAGCACCGGCAGGCATCGGCACAGCAAAGTCCTGTGAAGGGCTCATCCCGCCGGGCTTCAACCCTAGCATGTTTCTTGGTGTGCATGTTCCGTGCACTGGAGAAGCCTACAGCACAAGATGCACAAGATGCAATGGGAAGAAGACTGAATGTGTCTTGACCAGGAGGAAGGCTGCCAGCAGATTCTCCAGGCTAAAAGAAAGATGTACCATGAAACCATCTCAGTTCCAGCATGACACTTTGGGCAAACAGGTCCATTTTGTAGCATGTGCCTCGGGCTGCCAGGGGTGAGGCACCCAGCGAGGACCATCCGACCCCTGCAGCCACAGCATTTCATTAGGTGAGGTTCTAGGATATCTAGGTTCCGCGATGTTTGCCAGGTTTCACCTAGCTACTGTCTTAGGTCCTTCTTCGGTATATTGTGCAACGCATGCTAGCGCACAGTGTATGAGAATGAGAGAGAGAGAGAGAGAGAGAGAGAGAGAGAGAATGAGAGCATGAGAATAGATTCAACTTCCACAAGCAGTCCCAGCGCCCAGGATCATTGCCTCGCCATCGAACAGCGTGCACACGTCTTCGATCAGTTGGGCCTCCCAGCTCCAAGGAGGCCAATCACAATGTCTGCCCATACTGCATTTGCTCGAAGATCGGACAGGGTGCTAACAAATGTCATGTGTGGAAGCATGGTCAGGCAGGTTTCTTTCTTTGCGCCCGCTGTTGTGCCTCATGCAGGCTCCTCCGAGTCAAGCGCTGGGTAAGCGCCTCCTGCAATAGTTTTGGCGACACAAGCTTGTCCTTTGCATTGACTTTATGCACATGTTCCCTTGCCGCATCTACTGGTTCAGGCCTTGCAAGCTCTAAGCTCATTTTTTGCTTCACACATGTCTACACACACAAAGGGTGCGCATCGGTGCCTCGAGATCTGCACCATAGGCCCAGTCAGCATCCTTATGCGCACCATTTGTAGCCAAAGCTTGTCAAGGGTAAGGAACACAGGAGCTCTGATTGCACTAGTCGAGCAGCAAAAGCTTTCCCTGATGAGCGTCTGTACCAACGTCATCCAACATCTGGAAACCAAAGCAGAATCTACCAAAGTTCCGTGCTCAAGCTCAAGTATCCCTGCCAAGCTGACAGACACAAGTGCTGGAAAATGGAAAGCCGGGTAGATGCAGCCAGGTCTCTCCTGGGCGGATGAGGTCCAGGGGCCGCTCGCAGATTAACAGCTCACCCTGTGCAATGTCTGCCTGGGCTGCCAGTTTGGCAGGCCATGAGGGAAGCCTACGCCTCTACCCTCGTATTTCGGGGATTGGAGGGGGTACGACATTGCACTATGGAGTGGCTGGGCCAGGTCTTCAGCATGTCTGAGCTCTATCGTCCGAGCATCTGTAGCAATCATGCCTTGACCACGGCCTGGTATCACTTGTCGCGCCAGCTTGGGGGACTGATACCTTCAAAGTAAAAGCCGGAGACTTAAGCTGCTAGTCCTGGCAGTGTCCTGGCCTTTGCCTCAACGACATGTTGACCAACCTGTTCTGGAAACTGTCCCTGCCTCAGCGGCCCTGCCTGCCCGGGGACGTCATAGTGGTTGTTGGCAATGGAAGCGCCTAGGCTTGAAACTTGGGTGCATCTAAGGTCTCTCTATGTCTGGAACCTGCAAGCAAAGCACGCATTAGCAACGCCAAATCGATCTGCCCAGCCGCTTGCCTGACAAGTACGTGGCTGTGGAGCCAAAGCGCCAAGGTGTTCCATCATGAGTTTGAACAGCCGAGTTCCTGTCACTGTCTCGCCTGGCACCAATTTCGACCATGTGCTGAAACTTGTCCGAATAGGTTTCGCGCGCCAACTCCTTCACGCCTGGCTCCTGATGACAGGGACCAGCAGCAGTGTCTGGAGCAGCCCAAGCTACTGTTTGCTCTTCCTTCATGGCTTCGAGCGCTTTGGACCAGTTGCCCTGCGTTGCCAGAGCCCGGGCTCTCAACAAGCCGGCAGCAGGCCCATCCAAAAAATGCGTCTCCTTGCACTTGAATTGGCTCGCAGGCCCATGCATGGCGAATGGTGACAAGCACGCAAGTAAAAGTCAAGTCTTGCAGGCTGCAGGACATGAATAGCTGCGTACGAGGAAAGCCTCCCAGCAGACTGCGGCCCGGTGCATGTCTACGAATCCTACCGCAACATTGTGTTTGTTGTTAACCCAGTTCGGCTGTTTGCGCCGCGCTTCCTGCATGCAAGGCCCCGTGAAGCCGCGCAGAAGCAGCACCTGCGGCAAAGGTCACGAAGATGGTTTTGATCGCTTCTGCTTATCAAGCCGCGTTGAGACTGCTAGCAGGGTCTTCAGTGGCAAGTGACTGCTTGGGATACTGCATGCGGGAAACGCATCAGCTCTTCCGCCTTGCATTCCAGCTCTACATGAATAAGGCGCGAAACAACAAAATGGAGCGCGTGATTTTCACACACGGGTTGCCCCGACTCCGGACTCCCCTTGCAAGAGGCATCTTTGCTATCCAACTCCATCTGAAAGAGAAAACTTGGCCTTGCACGTCTTTATGGAATGGGCGACAGGGCTGTGCAGTAGAACCACGGGACCAGTTGATCCTTTGTGGATTCCCTGAATTTCTTTGCAGCCGATGCATCGCAATAGCATGCATCCACTGCTGAGCCTGGCTCCCTTTCAAAATAGCCCTGCCATGTCGGGGTAGGGGGTAGGCCTTGGTCCGAGGGCCCTCAGGTTTTGGAAATGAATCTCCTGACCCCCCCAGAAATCCTGGCTCATCACGGAAATCCATTGACTTGCAATGCAACATGAAGTGAAGCCTAGGTGGCCTGACCCCTGCGTGCACTCAGAAGCAAGCGTGGCAATATGCATTTTGGTGAATTTTAAGGCCCCAAATGGCCCAAAAATCATATGCACGAAGCCCTCCCCATCAAAAAGGCGAGCAGATCGGAAACCCAACCAATTCCACTCAGTCTAGCCCAGCGGCCACCCGGAACAAAACCCAAGGGGCCTGACCTCCCTCTCAGCCCTGCTGGGATTTATGTCTGACACACTTTTTTTCAATGTAGCTCCTGTAATATCATCAAACAGTATTGTCAGACATTACATTTTCTACAAACACGGATCCATCTGTTCATTGATCATGCCTAAGCAGTTTGAGCCCCTTCAGCTCGTTGAATGTCTGCCCAGTATATCGCCTGCTTGCTTTCACTCTCCCACTTGTTATGTTTCAAGTTGCTGCAGAGTGCTCAACATGGCCCATGGGCAATTTAAGGTAGCATGCATAGATTAGATTAGATTAGATTAGATTAGATAGCAGCAGCAGCCTAAATTGAATCCATGGGTCTGAACCCTTTGAAACAACATGTTGAGGGTCATACGACAGACCCAACCAACATGTGAAATGAATTCCATGGAACCCAAAGGCCATGCACCTGAAATGAAACGCCTATCCAAATATTTTTTGAGCCCTGAGCCACCCCGTTTAATTTGAGGCAGCGCGCCCCTGTTTTCCGAAGGGGAAGAAGTCCTGCCTCCACCGTTTACCCTACAAATTGCCGTCAGCACATGCAGAAGCCTCTGCACGACGGCGTCTCAGCTCTGAAGCAGTTTCGGTCTTCCGTGCTGGGCTGGCATCGAAAATGCCTTGCAAGAAGCACATTCGCCAGAGCTGCCGGGCAAGCCAAAAAAAGGAGGAGCAAACAGGGGATCCTGAGCCAGCAGTTGCGAGAGATTCTTTTCAGTCAGGAGGCCCAACAGCCTCAAACCACGAGTCAGCAGGAGATAGGCAACCTGTGCCAAAAGACGCGCAGACTGTGCAGCTTGAGAATTTCTGCCTGTCAAATTGCCTAAACAGGGCTAAAAGCCGCCTGGAAGTCACCAGCCTCTTGATGCCGCTTTGCTGCCTTGGCAACCTGAGGCACAGCCAAAACAATGCCAAGCGTCAAACTTCTGCAGAAGACAGGCGAACACCAGACCCTTGCCTTTGTTGCTTGCTCTTCTGCCGACACCGGCCCCTTGTGCTGTAGAACAACCTTCGCACTCTCAGTTCAAACAACTACACACACACACAGAGACACAACAGGCACCGCCCACCCCAGGAGACGGTGCTCCAAACGGAGCACTCTAGGCTTTCACACCTGGTATAGCTTTGACTTTGATCGTCTGAGCCGTAGACGGAACCCACAATGAAGATGACCAGCCAAATTCTCCAATCCCAGGCGAGCAAAACCTGCTCGAAGAATGCTGCAACTCAGGAAAGTGGGGCACATTAAAAAAACTGTCGGAACGCTTGAGCGGTATTTGGGGGAAAGCCCACACTCCTGGCGACAGCCTTTGCCTTGTACCTTTTCTCTGTCGCACGAGCCTGGCCCACGGCAGCAATGCCAGCCGGAAGCGCAAATGCAAGCAGCGTCATGGCCACGCCCAAGGCGAAAGTGGCCAAGTTACAGTCTTCTCATGATTGCATCAGTTGCATCAGCTGCTTTCAGCTGCCAGGTGTGCAAGTTTGGTGCTGGTCTTCCGATTTGTATGGGTAAGTTTTGTGGAAAGACCCGGCGACTTCGATTCTGCAACATGGTCACTTAGCTTTTGCTTCTTCGAGCCGCTGTAACTTGCAAGGTGCCTCAGCATTCCTTCACTCATGCTCCTTTCGCATTGCTCAGCCTGGATACCAGACATATGCGGCGTTTTGGAAGGCTCAGAGCTCCCCAACTCCCCACAGAACGTGCAAATAGGATCGACTTTGGATCCGCGCGCAAACAATCAGGCAGCTCATTTGGACCGCATCACCTGTAAAGGGCGGAGCAATTACGGGTCTGGCTTGCTTAAGAGCGAAGTTCTGAAAATTTACAGATGCTCCGGCCCCGCGCGAACATCCACGCTCTCTCCCTATTCCCATCTCTTCGCCCCTCTCTGCGTTCACCTGCCGCGCGCTGCAGCAAGTGCTTCTGAAAGGCTTCGTGCTTCGTGGGGCCAGGCTCCTGCTTTGCAATGACTTTCTGCACATCGCTCATAAAGGATGAGCCTTCACAACGAGCATGTCTCTAAGATTCAAAGCGCAAGCCGGCCACAGCTGAGGCTCGACTATATTCCTGGAGTCCTGTGGAGCCACTTGGCAGCACGATGCTTCCACGTAGTGCTGTGACGCCAGAAAGCCTCCCAAAATCACAGCAGCAGCTGACAGAATACTCGCAACAAAGTTCCATCCGGCCTTCCTCTTGCTAGTTGCGAAGAACGCCTTGGCGCGCCTTCAACCAAAATCTGCAAGGTGTGAGAGCAGGGCGTATCTTCTAGGCCGTTGCAATAGCCTCCATCCGAAGTTGCGGTAGGTCTTCTCCCATTTCTCCCGGAAGCAGTCTCAGGGAGCTCGGCCAACTCCAGCGAGCTTCCTACCTAAGCTTGAACATGAGAAGGGCCAATTGGCCCTTTTAGCCAAAACTTCTATACTCTTGAAGATGGTCTATTGGCAACCCCAAGGCAAGGGCAAAAGACACCATGGAACTCATGGTACAAACAACAAGAATGCGGGTCACATCTCTCGAGTTGCCTCCGACAAAATTGGTGGCAGCACACGTGCTGCAACCAATTGCTGGCGAATGGATGGCGGCATAGCTGCGAAGGTGAGGATACCCCTTGCCGTGACATTCACTTGACGGAGGACACAGCATTTACAAGCCGTGCATAACTCTGATGGCAAGCACCCACGTCATCAGAAGCAAGAAAGCAAGCAAACGAACTCACTAACTCGTCCCTGCCCTCAACCTGACTCCGGCCGTCTGCCTTCTGATTTCTGATGTACACCTACATCACCTAAGGTAAAGCCTGCCTCGGCAGGCTGTCCATTTCATCTTCCTGGCAACAGAGCTGGGCGAATTCCAGCGTGGCTTTCCTCAGGAATATGTCTCCGATGATGCACCAGTGCAGATAATGCAGCAGATCAAGGATACCAGATAGTAACACTATCTGATCCTGGCTTGCATCCCACACATCCCCTTAGCCTTAGCTGCCCAAGAAGATGCTCCAAGCAGTTTCTGGTCAAGGCTGCTGCTTAGCAACTTCCCCAAGTCAGGCCCGGTTGCTGAAAGTCAGCCCTAGTAAGGATATATGGCTGCCGCAATCTGCGTCCAAATGGCGTGTCGAGCCCACGAACTTTCTCCTCGAAGCATAAAGCAGGCTAGCTGCAACCAAGCAAGTCGGAGCCCCCCTCATATGAAATACGGCTTCCCCAGCATGCTAAATACGAAAATCTGTCCCCAAGAGTACTTTTGAAAGGGCCAAGACAAAAGTGAATTGGGCTTCAGATCCTATGAATGAGGGGGTCCCTATGATAACTCTTAAGGATTAGGAATCACATTGATTTCGGCAATGTCGATTACTGTTGAACTGTTGTCATAGAGGAGTTTATACCCAAGAGTAGCCTATGATTAACTAATTCATTGCCCGTCAGGCACATCTAGCGACTACCAGCCCCACCCCACAAGTGACATTTCCGGCTTAAGCAGTAGTTACCAGAAATTTGTGGTGCTGTTGCTGAAAAGCTGGTCATGGTAGTGCGCACCTCTAGGGTGCATGGGCCACTTGGGGTGCTGCCAATGTAATTATTACATAGCTCCTATACAGGTCCTACGATAAAGGCCCGCTGAGATAAAATACGGGTTGGCGCACACATATGAGGGAGGGCATTTAATGTTAGGGGGCAAGGATGCTTTGTTTAGGCTGCTCTCAACAAACAAACCTCGAAGCATTTAGGGCTGGCAATCCAAAACAAGTCACAGCCCAGAGTCCCAGTCGAGAATGACCACGCTGGCTTCCAGCAGCGCTCGTCGGATCGTTGCGACGATGCCTGCATCTTAGATGGTCTTGCGGAGCTCTCAGAAGTGAGGAACAGCAAGGTCCGGTTGTGCTCTGGGTTGCACATCAGTTGTGGTTAAGCCTATCAATTTTGAGCCTGCCGGATTCTTGCGCGCCGGATACGGTACACACCGATACATGTGGTGGGCAAAGACAGGGCATGCTAGGCGTGGTCTGCTGCCTTAATGCACAAGCCGAATGCTCGATAGCGGGTCTTGTCACAAAATGTTAATGGAGTGCTGTCCTCCTGCATACCCCAACAATCTGTGAGCGGCAGCCAATGGCCAATGAAAATGATTCAGCTGCCTGCCTGGTGCCGTGGCAAAGAACATGTAGTTTGGCAACTCCACGACGGAAACATGCCCTTCCTGAAGCCGAGCTGGTGTTCGGAAGGACATGAAAAATGCTTGGCTGGAGCAGATTTTCAAGTTCAGCTTGACTGTTCTCTGCTTGCTGAGCCGAGCTGCCGTCTTGACAACGAGCTGCTCTAAGGCCCTAGTGAAGTTCCGAATGGCATCTGCAAACGCGAGGAACATGCCTGCGAACAATCCTCGGCAACATCAGAAGTAGGGGGTGAACCTCCGTAGTGAGGAGAGTGAATAAAAGCAAAAAAATGCTCTCAAGGACAAAAATGCCTTGCTTGCGAGCATCCTGCCTGAACCTGACCGCCGCACAGTAAAGCCACGCAGGACGCGATGCAAACCTGATAAAGGGTGGGGTGAATTTGCGGTGGCAGTAGACTACTGTCCCTTTCAAGGGGCGCCGCATGGGGTTCCAGAATGTTAGGTTCGGGGAGGATAAGAAAAAATGCAGCATTCGTCTAGAGCAGCGAAAGATGGATCGGTACACTATCCATAAATGCGAGTTGGCTACACCTTGGACAGCAGCCTGACTGTTGTCGGGATGAAGGACACCCGCCGACGGCTAAATAACGATGTCTTAGTAAGCCACCATCTGATGAACATGTTCCTTACAAAGCTGTATCATGCTGTATCAATAAAGCGCCCACCGCCTGCATATGCCCAAAGCTTGTGACCAAGCAGCCAGGGTTGCTACACAGTAATGCGGAATGCTGACTCTCCAGGCACCTGACTGACCTACTAAGTAGTTCATTTCTAGACCCGCCACCATGAACCCGAAGCCAAGGAATGTCAAAGCAGCCACTGAGAACTCCGTCCGCGTCAGGAGGGCATATCCCTGGCAATGGCGTCCTGGCGTGCCGCTGCATAACCCGAACAAACGCGGCTTCGGTTATTACGTGCTGTCATGTATTTACGCTGACGAGTTCCTCCATCTAGCTTAAGAGCTGCACCAAACTGCTGCGCCTGCAGGAATCCGGCAACCAGCAGCTCTGCCGAAGCCAGCAACACGATGGTGCCGTTCACGAAACGCGGAACGTAGGGCAAACTGTTCTTCCTCGGCTTCAACTTGCATCCACAACCTTCCATCTTCGAGAGAGGCATCCAGCCCATGGACGCAGGAACAAACTCACAACGCTGTGAGGGCTGCATGTCTGTATGCCGGGTCACGGTATGTCCACGCACAGGACACACCTGGGCTTGGAGTTGCAAGTGCTGGACATCAGCCCGGAGCACGACCAATCAAAGGACAGGAGTTTGCTGCTGGGACACAAAGCCATTGTCACCACATGTGCCCACATACTTATGCGGAAACGACCTGGCATCTGTTGTACCCAAACGCGAAGGAGCCAAACTCTTGCAGCCCACAGCCTCCCACTATGCGATGCACCTCAGCCAGGTTTCTTGGACAAATAGGACTTTCAGCACACCCTGATCATAACTGCAAATCTGGCAAGTCAAGTTGGAAGCTGACAGCTCCGTCACCGCAAATGTGACTTGCACTTGATGGAAAATACCTGTATCCTTTGCAAAGTGTGCCACTACCACTGAAAGAGATTCAAGCAGCATTGAAAGCAGCAAGAGTGAAGGCGGAATCGGCACTTTGATGGCGTTGCTCCACATCTAGAATAGAACAGCAACAACAATGGACACCACTGCACTGATCACCGAGCATGACGGTCAACGATGGTATGGAAAGGTGATGGTGCCAGATGCAGTCGACGTGACATTTCACAAGGCTACCGCTTGTGCCAGAATGCCAGAATGCGTTGGAATCTCCCTTTCTGTCATAAGATGCACGCTTCCATGGCAACTGCATGACTCCTCCATGTGCAAAGAGACTTTGTTGTTGTTGTTGTTGTTGTTGTTGCTGTTGTCGTCTGACGAATTGTCCGTAGGAATTTTCCAATCAACTCTCTAATCAAGCTGCCAACGTATCGTCGTTGCCATAGTCTGAAGCGAAACCCAGCGCCAGGCCGTCAAAGATGTGACTTCGACCTCCAGCTTTGATTGTTACCCTGCAGTACTAACTCATACCACTCTTGGTGGGACAGTCTTAGGAGGTGCTACACGGTGTTGTCGTCATCTGCAAGTGACTTCTCAGCTCATGGCCTTGCACGATCATCTCCTGGGCTTGGTTGGCAGATACAAGCGTGAAGCAGTAGGCACATGTATGCAAGCATCCAAGCAGCATAGTCAAAAGTGGACGCGCCCATCACCTCACACAGAAGGCATGCAAGTCAGTGTTAAGCCATGTTTGATGCCTCAACGGCCAACAAATTTGAGCACAACATATTACAACAGCAAGGATTGACTCCTTTGGTCTGCTTTCGCGCCTTGGGTGGAAGGAGGGTGGTGGTCACAGCCAGCTGGCATGCTATATTCACGATCGAAATGATGAAGGCACTCAGCAAGATCTTCGACATGTTCCGAAACCTCAGACGCTTCCTACACTGGCTTTTGACTGAAGGAGCCATTTGTACATGAAGAGCACAGGTAAGTGGCATGATGTTGGGAAGACAACTCTGAAGCTCGCTGGACGATGGATGCGCATTGAATTAGGGTCTCCCGCGTGCTCGCCTCCAAAACTTTGGATCCTCTTATAAGGATGCCCGAAAAAAGGAATGAGAGGTTTCAACCACCCTGTACAGTCATGGTGGTCAAATCTGTTTGCAGGCCGATGCGCACTGCCGACCACATGATGTCCTTTGTGGCCAATTCGTACAGCTTCCTGACATGAAGCCAAGAGGCTGTCTTTGATTCCGCTGGACAACCGCTATTCAGTGTCAAAAGGGCATGAAGGAACTGGAGTGAGGTTCCCTTTCTGGATAGCTAAGACCAGCATGCAGAAAAGATAGACTAGCTCGGAAGAAAATTTGCTACAAGAAAGGTAGGAAAGACAAGTTCAATCCAGATTTGAGCACTGCGGCCAAGAAGAGGCAGGCAGGCAGGCAGGCAAGCTGAAATTGTTAACAGGTGGATGCCCTCCCGGACTGCATCAGTGCTGACGAGCATGAGGACACACGGAGGTAACTGTAAGTGCACGCTGTGACTGGCAAGGTTTCAAATTCAGCTTCAATTGAGTGGAGCTTAAAGACAACGAGACAAGAATCACGCCAGACAGAGGCGCACTGCAAAACCTGCAAAGCCAAGCATCCAAATCGGGAAGTACTCTGTCTGCGGATACAGCCAATGGCTGTCCTGCGCAGCCTCCGCCATGATAGCCAGCAACTGGGGGTAAGATGTGAGCAACCCTACAGCCCTACACCATCACGGCTCAGTGGCCAAGAGTTGGAAGTGTCTTGGTGGAGGCAGGCTGGCTGTATAGCGTAGGTACCTGCCTCCAAGGAAGCGCCGGTTCCAATCCGAACGGCGTGGAAAAGAGCTATCGCAGAAAATGTGAAGATGGCAATGGTGAAGGGCGAGTCCTTCCTCAGACATGCATGCCAGATTCAGAGCAGCGACCAGCAGGAAACTTGAATGGCTTGAAATCACGCTGCAGATTGATGAGACAGCCACTGCCCGGCTGACATCGGACACTTCATCCCGTCCCAACTGGTGTAGCCCCAGCGTCACGAATTTGGTGAAAAGGTAGATGGCCAAGGCAGACAACATGGAGGGCACCCAAAGCATCAGGATAGAGCAGTCAGTGACGAGTGTTGCCAGCACTTCCTTGTGAAGACTGTTCGGAGACAGCGTCAAACTAGCCTCTAACAGGATTTTCCCTCGTAGCGATGTAGCAGCTGATGGCAAACTACTGGATGGCTGCAAGCACAAATCGCGAATGTCACGCAACAAACAACCTTAGTGTCACGCGTCTGGCGCTGAAAGCACATGCCTTAAAAACCCTCAAGCCACAAGTGCTGTCGAGATGCTGGCTGAGTGGAGAAGTCAGTCCTTACATTCATTGACTTTGTCGTTTTTTTCGTGTATAGTCTTGCGGACCGCACATGTGAGGGCTTAATTAAGGCAGCGTCAAGTCCTCTTGTATGGACTTTCTCGGCTACTGCTAGTCCAGCGGCAGGATGTCGACGCCGCAGCTCGCTTCAATGCCCAGGCCGAACAGCACCAATCCTAGCATGGCCTGCCAACTTAGTAACCAACCTCACTGGAAGTGGTGACGTCTTTGCCTGCGAAAAACCTGTCAACCGAACACATGCAACAATGCCAAAAGAGCCTGCACAGACACTTCCACCGAGTAGGGGATGAACCGAAGAGCAGTGCCGACCTGTGAGAGGCCGATGGCATACATTGCGAAACCTAGGTAGCTCAGCAGTCCGAAAAGCCATGATGCGGGCAGAGGTGTTGCTGGCCTCTAATATTGTCATGATACTTTTCCACTGACGTGGCTGTTCCCCTCAGGCGTCCACCAGACATCAGGGTTGCGCAGCTCGAACAGAGAACAGTCGAAGCCAGGACTGCTTCCTCGGATTCCCTGTCAAGGACGCTCCGTGTCTCTTCAGAACTATGGTGGATAAAGCTCCTGGATGTTCCTCATTGACGTCGCTGCATACTGCCAACGCGACGAAGACTCCAACCATACAACTCACAGGAACCGGTGCTTCAATTTCGTCAAGCAAGGCTCAAAGTCGGCTGGTGCCAGCAAGGAAATTTGCTCCTGGTATACCAGCCAATGAATTGCATCATCCAATCAGTAGGTTTGCTTGTTCAGAGATGGCATGAGATGCAAGAAGGCGGGAACACGTTCACAGCTGGCCAAACCAAGTCATCACCCTGTGATCTCCCTGCATTCTGGCAGACCCTCGGCCTGCATCGCTTTGACCAAAGGCAGGACTTCGATGCCTGCAGGCTGAACTGGCCAGGCCAGTGGGGTGCTGCTGTTCGGGACTGATGCGCCGCAATACTCATTCCCATTCCTATCCAAGATGCTTGGGGTGCACAAAGGCGTCTCCTTAGCAGAGCTGGCATGTTCATAAGCATGCCTTGTAAGCATGCACGGACAATGCTCGCGGCGTATTACAACAAAACACGACAAAATTGCGGCCAGATCACGTAGTTGGAGAAAGCCAGTGTGGCAATCTGCGCAACAAGATGGCCGGTAGTAATGTGCTTTAGGGCCAGCCCTGTGTAGTCGTGCAGCCCGTCCTGCTGCGAAAATTATCGTCAAAGGAATTGAAGCATGGCAAGGCGCCGAAAGAGCAGTGCCACGCAATCGCCAACGTGAACATGA